CAGGGATGGAGAGGGACGGTGGTTCCCCACATGCGGCCCCCACCTTGGCGCCGCGCGCGTTCGTTTCAAGAGCCTTCGGCAGCCGCGCGGGTGAAGAGAGGGGGATGCTCTTCACCGCACGGCGCTCGTCTCTGCGCCGCGCGCATCCGTTGTAAAAACGTTGCGGCTCTCACCTTGGCGCCGCGCGCATTCGTTTCAAAAGCCTTCAGCAGCCGCACGGGTGAAGAGGGTGATACGTTTCACCGTGCGGCGTTCGTCTCTGCGCAGCGCGCGTCCGCTGTAAGAACTTCCAACGGATATACGGACGAGAGGTGCATGATTTTCAGCGTGCGGTTCTCGCTTAGGCGCCGCGTGCATTCGTTTCAACGTGTTATTGTTGTCACGCGGATGGAGGAGGGGTTGGTTTCAACACGCGGTTCTCGTCTGGCACGTGTGAAGTCCGACCGTCCCAAGGTATAAGTTGGTCTGGAACGTTGGTATTTGCTTTAGCGGTTCGCACACCCGCCTTAGACATCAAGCAGTTCTACGACTGTTGGCGGAGTTGTTCTCAAACTGCGGAAATCCCAGTCGCACTTCGCACATCCGTCTTCGAAGCTGGCGAACTTAGGCATAACGATGGCCATTGCAGTGCAGAACATGAGGGGACCCACGCCATCCAGGCTGGAAGACGTTTCCCCACCAAAGAAGAGCTCGAAGATCGGCTCAGGGTCTCCCACACAGTGGGCGGAGCGAGCCTGAGAAGGTAACAGGGCAGACAAGCGAAGGGAGAGATATCGGCTGCGGAATCCGACTGCGATACCAACGGTCAGACAATACCATGGGGAGCGACGGGGGGTACGACAGGGGGGGGGCACACATATGCACACAGTGCACACATATGCTTTTGGGCCAGAGCCACATGAAAGGGCAACGGAAGCAACGGTAGGAGACACGTCAGACTTGCACTGGAAGATCTCCAGGGGACACCCCGTCGACGCCCGCGGCAAGAGTTGGGCCAAGTTTTTTTGCAAAACCATCTCAGCCGCTCGAGTACGTGGTCGATGTGTGAAGTTAGCGCGGAGTTAGCAGGTGTCTCGAGAGCCGGCCTGGGCGACGATTTCTCTTGGCCCCTCTCAGGCCCCTCGCGCCTTCCCCCCCTCGCGGTGTCCTCGCGCGTCCTGCGTCGCCCCTGCCCTTCCGCCCTGCCGAGCCTTGCTGGTCTGCCGTCGGCCCCCCTCCTCCTCTCTGGCCGCCCGCGTTTGTCCCCTGCCTGAGGCAGGGGCTCTCCTCTCCTCCCGTCCCTTCCTTTCCTTTCCTCCCCCCCGTCGCGTCCCCTCCCCCTGCTCCTCTGCCTGCGCGCTCCGCGCCCCCCCCCCCCCCCCGCCCCCACTCTGCCCCGTGGCTTACGGGGGCTCGGCGCCAGGCGTGCACCCAGGGGGGGGGGGGGCGGCGGGGAGGCAGAAGGGGGGGGGGGGGGGGGGGGGGGCGAACGCCGACGCGCGCGCCGCTCCCCCGCCGCCGTCCCTGCCGCCGCCGCCGCCGCCCGCCCACGAATGCTGCAACTTCAAGACGCCCCCCCCGAGCGTCGTCGTCTGTGGTTCTCCCCCCCCCCTTGCTTGGAGGGGCCCCCTTGCCCCCAGAGGCGGCCAGGGGCAGGGGCTCCCCCCCCCTCACGTGTTTTTCGGAGCAGAGCTCCGCGTGAGCCTCCTGCGGTGGCCACCCCCCCGCGACCCGTTCTCCTCATGGGCCCCCGGGGGCCGCCCTAGGCAGGCGTCTGCAAGGGCAGGGCCCACATCCAAACCTCAGCAGGGGCATTTCAAAGCCCTCGACGTCCTGTAGATGCACAGCCTTTCGGACTCGCTTCCAACGCGCTGAACTCTAACCTCCCTCATGTTTCGCCTTCCGCTTCTCCCTCATCCTCCCCCCTCCTCTATGGTTTCTTGACAGGCTGTAGTCAAGGCTCCAGCGATCTCCAGGGCCTCCAGGGCAAGGCGGTCGATGGGGACCATGTGGGACTGCCGCGAGCCTTCCCCCGGAATCTCCGAGCATCTAATTCCAGACCTCCGCGTGGGAGCACTCTTGCGGCCGTTCTGACTTGCGCGCTGCTCTCATGTCTCGCACGGCCCATGAGTGATGCTTGGGGGAATCGCCAGCGTTCCGCGGACGCCATACCCACGCGCGGAGTTTCTTAGGTGTTTCTGCTGGATCCGTGAGGCGTTCAGTCATTTCGAGGGTGCACCAGGAGCCTCTGGGGGCCTCCCGTGAGCCTCCCTGGGCCTTCCGTGCCCTTGTGGTGGCAGTTGGATGCAGGCCGTAGCCGGCATTCGCTTCCGTGCCCAGAGCCGGGAGCTCGCCCTTCAGCATGAAGGGAAGGGCTCCTGGAGGAACGGGTCGCAGGCGATTTTTTCCTCTCTCTCCCCCCCCCGATTTTTCGACGAGCAGATAAAGTCGCTCAAAGAAACAGGGAATCTTGGGATACACTCCAAGGGGCTATTCGGACGCACCCCTCTCGAGGATGGACGCCCCCCCATCCTATACCCCAAAGTTGGGGTCGACACATCCCCTGTCAAAGGGGTCCCCGATGTTTCTTTGCCGTTTCGGTCTGTCGGGGCCCTTCCCTGGGGCCGGGGCCTGCAACAGAAGCGAAGCGGGATGCAAAGCTCGTCGTGGGGGGGGAACGCCCTGGGGCCGAGAGCTTGTCTCCAACAGCACACACATCTGTCTGTTGCATATACAGTCGGGGCCCTGAAGAAGGAACCCTTTTCGTTGGGGAGGGGCTCCGTGTTCCTTAAGTGTTTCACAGCTTACCTCAGGTTTTCCTTATGCTTTCGATCGGAAATCGAAGTTTAACTTATGGAAAAAAAGGGGCCTCGTTCCTTATTTACGGTTCCTTAGGTCAACGCCCCGACTGTATATGCTAAGCTCGTGCTCGCGCGTGGAGCTCGGGGCCCGTGCCTCGAGCAGCCCTGCGGCGGCTCGCTCTCCCCAGGCCCTGACGGCGACGTGCTGGCACGCCCGCCCTTCGCTCTCACACCCGCTGTGAGCTCGCGCCCGCGCGCGCGGACCTCTCGGGAGCTGCTCCTCGAGGGGCCCCTTCTGCGGCTCGCTCTTGCGGGCCCGCTGGCAACGTGCTATGGCACACCCGCCCTTCGCGCACACCTGCTGAGCTCGTGCCCGCGCGCGCGGACCTCGGGACCTGCTCCTCGAGGGGCCCTTCTGCGGCTCGCTCTCTCAGGCCCGCTGGCTGACGAACCAACAACACACACACACACACACACACACCCATACCCATAAGGGGGATCGGAGGGGGCTATGGGTGCGTGTTGTCGGATGGGGGTCCCCGCTCGAACGGGAGCGTTCCCCAGGGTCCGACAACCCGCACCCATACCCATAGCCAGTCCTCCTCCCAGCGACCTCCCTATGGGTATGGGTGTGTGTTGTTCGTTCGTCACTGGCAACGTGCTATGGCACGCCCGTGTCCTTTGCCGAGGGCAAAATCGGGCGCGGCAAAGAGGAGGGTGATGACTAACGGGGGGGATATCATCTCATGGCGGGGGCCATGATGCTTCCCCAGATCTCAGGGCGCCTCCTCTTATCTCATTACGTCCCTGACCCTCCCCAAGGGCCGCGCAGGTGCCGCGGGCCATGATTTGCGCCCCCCCCTCTTGGACGCCCCCCCCTTGGCCGCCCCCGACAAGAAAGCAACAGGCGAGGAGGAGGAGGAGGAGGAGGAGGAGGAGGAGGAGGAGGAGGGGGAGGAGGAGGAGGAGGAGGAGGAGGAGGAGGAGGAGGAGGAGGAGGAGGAGCGACAACGGAGGCTGGGCAGGCCAGCGCCCCGTCGGCCCAGCATCGACCCCGCGACCCCTCGGGGCAGCTCGGGCGGCGGAGGCCCGGCGCCTGCTGGGATTTCCCCCCCGCGCTGGCCCCCTGGCGAAGCGCCCCCTTAGGGGGACCACATGCGAGCCCTACCCCTGCAGCCAAGGAACAGTTCGGATTCGGACGGGGCTCGATGTTCCTTACGTCCTCCCGCGGTTGTTCCTCTAGCCCTTCTCGTGCACCCAGGCTGTTTTGAAGCCGCCGAGGGGCGCCGTTCCTTGTTTGGCGTTCCTTGTTTCAGCAGCCCGACTGTATACACCCAGGATTTCTGAGGGGGAGGGTTCGCACGTGGTCCTCTACCCCTCGGGCCAGTGGCTAGACCTGCGCCGAGCCAACGTCTAACCCGGCCGGCCTGGCAGACCTGGCCCGGCAGCCCCTCGTGTCAGCGTCTGGCCGTCTAGCCGGCCAAAGTCGGTATCGTTTCACCGATCCCCATCCCCATCCCCTTCGAGACCCCCACCAAATTGCCACCCCAGTTGGGGATACACCCCTCGAAACCCGAAGGGAATGACCTATATCCCCATCTAGGGGGGTAAATCGGCCAGTGGGGCCCAGGCCACGCCGCTGGGGATGGGGATCGGATTAACGATACTCATCAAGCGCCTGTCTGACCCCCCCCCACCCCAAGGCAGGGAGATTTGCCACGGGTTCCGCCAAAAGCCCTTGCTCCGTTGTTCGTTGTGGGTGCCTTGTGACTCGCAGGCTCCTCTCCTCAGGGCAGCGCCCTCAAAGGTCGTTCTCGTCAGCGCGTTTCGGACGGGGCAGGCTCGCAATGGTCTTTCGGGTACCGAGCGTGAGCCCGAAAAAATGTATGGATACATTGTCTTCGCGCCCTCTGCGGATCACGGTGCCCACAGAGTTGTACACAGCAGCGTCTGGGGCATTCGTCTGAGATTGAGTGTGTTCGCGAAGGGTGGCACAGCGATGTTGCTTCAGTCCTGTCCACGAGGCAACCTTCGGTTCCCTTATGTCGATTGAGATTCTGGAGTGGTGGCAGGATCATGACGCGATGGTTGTGCCGCATGGGCAGCTTGCTTGTGTGTTGTGTCTGCGTGCTCGTAATGCCTGCCGTAACGAGTATTATTGGGTTGCGTGGTTGTACGAATCGTTTCAGCATTTTCTCTTGAGTGCATCGTTGCTTGCAGGTTGCAGCAGCAGAATACGGACTGGCGCAAGATGATCATAGAAGAGCAGGAGCGGAGCACCGACCTGCAGATGCAGCTGTCCGACGCTGGCCAGGCACGCATGGAAGCGAGGAGATCGGAGGCGAAGGCTCGCTGGCACACTGAAAACTTGAATCGTCCGATGCGTCGTGGTTTCATTCAGCAGCACTGTCTACAACTTTCTGGAACGAAGACCTCAATCTCTTATGCCAAGCGCCAGATTCAAACCCAATGGCTCGAAAGTCATACATGGTTGCGCCAGGATTCTCTCGATTGCATTTTGCGAGACATCCAAAATAGCCACCATCTTAACCTCAGGTCTGCATGCAGCCGGTGGGCACCAATCAAGCATGGGAATGATGAGCACAGACATGCGTACATACATATTGCGTGCACATACTTGCAGCATTCTGCACTTGAGGTCAAGCGACAGAAATATCGATGTTGGTTGGGATCTGTGTTGCTCTTGGCACACCGTACGATCTCCGTCTCGGTGCAAGTTGCTGTAGAGATATCTAGACAATGCCCACGCGGATTTTTATCATTATTGTTTTTCCCTTTCATCATTGTTGCCGTCTCGAAGACACCACCAGCCCCAATAGTCGTCCAATGTCTTGTCTCTGCACCTCTCCGCTCTGCTCTCGTAGTGGTCGTACTAGTAGTAGTAGTAGTAGTAGTAGTAGTAGTAGTAGTAGTAGTAGTAGTAGTAGTAGTAGTAGTAGTAGTAGTAGTAGTAGTAGTAGTAGTAGTAGTAGTAGTAGTAGTAGTAGTAGTAGTAGTAGTAGTAGTAGTAGTAGTAGTAGTAGTAGTAGTAGTAGTAGTAGTAGTAGTAGTAGTAGTAGTAGTCGTAGTAGTAGTAGTAGTAGTAGTAGTAGTAGTAGTAGTAGTAGTAGTAGTAGTAGTGTCGTAGTAGTAGTGGTGGTAGTAGTAGTAGTAGTAGTAGCAGCAGCAGAAGTAGAGCCGTAGTCGTAGTAGTCGTAGTCGTACTAGTACTAGTAGTAGTAGTAGTAGTAGTAGTAGTAGTAGTAGTAGTAGTATAGTAGTAGTAGTAGTAGTAGTAGTAGTAGTAGTAGTAGTAGTAGTAGTCGTAGTCGTAGTAGTCGTAGTCGTAGTCGTAGCCGTAGTAGTCGTAGTAGTCGTAGTAGTCGTAGCAGTCGTAGTACTCGTAGTAGTCGTAGTAGTCGTAGTAGTCGTAGTAGTCGTAGTAGTCGTAGTAGTCGTAGTAGTCGTAGTAGTAGTAGTAGTAGTAGTAGTAGTAGTAGTAATAGTAGTAGGTGTGTGTGTGTGTGTGTCCACTCGCCGCCCCCCCGCGTGAAGGCCCAGCGCGAAGTGGAACGCCTGCAGCGCCAGGTGGTCCAGAAGAGGACATGGAATTGGAACCAGCAGAGTCGACGTAAGCCAGTGGGAAGAGCTACAGTCGAGCATCTGATTCAGAAACCACCTCTCGAAAAGCTGGGCCAGCGTCTCTTGGCCGACTTGCCGGCAAGCCGGCGCGGTTTCTTGAGCGCGTTCGCCTTTGCAGCGTTGACACAACACCTTGGCCAGGCTTGTCTTAAGAAATTTCCGGGAAGTTGGCCCAGGTCTCTTCAGTGATGATTTGTTTGATCATATGTTCGGCTTCAGTACGGTTGGGGACCCTAATGAGAACGCGGCGATACGCCAAGGGTACATCGCATCGTTGCCTCCTCTCGGCCTCGGCTGGGCGTCTTCGCCGTTCGGTGGTTGAAATAAAGACGCCCGATGGCACTGCATCATGATGTTGCGTCTTTGTGACTTGCTCCGGCTGTACGAATCTAGCTGCAGCGCCGCCAAGATTTCGGGGAGCACAGCGGATAATATTCAGCAGAGCGGGCCCGAAGGAGGCGATTGAGTTTTTTTGTCAAAGGCCAGGATGTGGCGCATGCTCGTTCTAGAAAGTTTTGCTGGGGTGTGGTAGATCGCCAGCAATGTTCTGGCGATGCGCCGTAACCCGACAGCGAGATTTTGGAATGGCCAACACAGATTCCTCACCATGCGCCGGAGCGTTTGGAGTTGTTTGTTGGTTCAAGTACGGTGCCCTGCTCTAGCGTGGATGATTGCCTCCTGTGACCTTAAGCCTTGAACTTGAACGGTACGCCCTGGAGACTAAGATCCATCATCTGGCTTCCCTACTGCATGATTGCTTCAAGGACTCAGCACGGCCTTGTCTCCCTCCTCGGAGCAACCGCACAGCACCCGCAGCCTCAGAGTCAAACGTACTTTTCGCTGCTGGTGGGGGTGGCTCGCGCCTCGCCTCCTCATGCTTATTTAATCGCTTCGCTCATTCCGCCGGCCCTGGAGCGCTATGTGGGGCCTCTTGGGGCCGTCTTGGGGGCCTCTTGGGGGCTTCTTGGGAGCGTCTTGGGGCTCCTTGGCGGCGTCTTGGGCTCCCCTGGGGCCTCTTAGGGGGCTCTTGGGGGCCCCTTGGGGCGGGAGTGGGTGTAGTCGATTGCAGCCACCCCCTCGGAGGCCACGATCCTCGTGAGGGGTGGCGAAAAATAGCCTTCCCCTCGCCTCCTATTCTCAGATTCCTGATCCTCATCCTATTGTCATGTTCCCTCATCCTCCTCGTCCTCATGGTCATCTTCACTACCATGCGCCCGACCTCATAATCTGAGAAGGCTTCGCCCTCTGCCGCTGTCCCCCCTCTTCTTGTTGCCAGCATGGCTACGCTTGTTCCGATAGTTAGTTGATTGCCTTGTGGGTGGGTGGCTGGCAGGCCGGTTGGTTGGCATGTTGCCTAGATGGAGGGTTAGCAGATGCTTTTTTGTTGGTTGCGCGCATTCGCAGAAATCAATAAAAAAAAACGATGGTGAACTCGGAAGCGCGCCTCCGCTGCAACTTACAACGGCTCGCGGCTTCTGGGACGCGCATCCCTGGGTATTTTCTGGGATTCGTCGCCGCGGGTCCAGAGCATCATTGTCTGGAAACGGCGGGGCGGCGGGGCCGAAACGCGCCTTCGGAGTACATGTCCCAACACAGACGGTTTCGGTATGTCTGCTCTGGAGAGGGTGGCTTTGTGGGCAACCTCCGCGGGGTGGGTTCGTGTCCTCGGGGGCGCGAAGGTGATGTAATTTACGAAGGGATGTGGCTTCGGGAACGCGCTATGAACGCAAATCGCTCAGGAACGTGGCCCGGGGAGCGCGAATGGTGTATAGTCAACCCGCATGGTAAGGATGGGCAACCTTCCCAAGGGTACCCTTGCATCCTTGCCTCCTCCCTCTATCCTTGGCCACTTCAGTTGGCCGCGCCCCGCTCGAAAATCTTCGATATGGGCGTCCAAGGCCCGTGCATCTTTATCGCGCATCCTTATGATACGGGCTGACTGTATAGTGTGTCATGGATTGTAGTCTCGGGAGCGCGATGCTGTAGTAAGTTATTATGTGTGCCTTCCTAGGAGCGCGACTGCGTCCACGCCCAGGAGCGTGAGCGTGACGTGAGCGTGACGTGACTTACTATGAGTGGTGACGTCCGGCGCCCGCGAGCATATGACAAAGTTTGCCACGGATTGTGGTTTCGGGAGCGCGAGCGCGCAGATCATATGTGATCCCAGGTCGAGGGTTTACGAGCCCCCCCCCCAGATGGGATGGCTCCCAGGGTTCACAGGTACCCCCCACTGATGGGATGGGAGACGACGACGACGACGACGACGACGACGACGACGACGACGACGACGACGACGACGACGACGTGGCCGAGCAACGCGCGTGGCAGCTCCGCACGCGCCGCTCCGAGCCTCCCCCTCGGCTGCCCCGCCTCGCAGGCCAGCCGGCTCCCGCCTGCGCCACCGCGGCCCTCTGGCCCCTGCCCCCTTGCCCCGGCGCCGCCCGACCAGGGGGCCCCCGCCGAGGCCTCCTTTGCGCCCGCTCTGCAGGGCCTCATCGTGGGCCCCGCGCCCCTCGATGGCGACCCCGCCGCTCAGGCGATCCTGCAGCTCCCCGGCCTCCGCCTCGCGCCTTTCTCCCCACCTGCACGCCCCTGCGCAGCGGTGCCCGCCGGTGCCCATCCATGCCATCCATGCTCTCGCGCTCCTCCGGCTCCTCGTCGGAGGCCATCCTGGGCACGCCCTCCGACCTGGCGTCCAGCTCGCACGAGGAGCCCGCGCCGAGCCCGCCAGGCCGCCGCCGCCGTCGGGCCCGCAGGCCGCCTGCGGCGCGTCCTCGGACGTGGCCCGCAGGTCATCGCCATCCTCGATCCGAGGTCTCCTGGACCTCCTCCGCGCCCTGCTCGAAGCTGATGCCCAGCGCGTGCTCGTGCCCGCCCTCCAGGCCGGTGCCGTCCCGCTCCGCGCCCTCGTCGGCCCTCGGCGCGCCAGTGGTGCCGCCGCCACTCGGCCCGCCGCAGACGCAGGCGCCGAGGCGAGCAGGAGCTCCCCCCCCTGCGGCCGCACGCCGCAGAGCCTGCCCCTGAAGTCCTCCAGCGCCTCCCCTTTGACCACGGGCTCCCGGACTGGTCCAGGGAGGCGTCGATCCCCGGGAGGGGGCGCATGCCGCCCCCTGACGACTGCCGTGCCCCGCCGTGCCCGCAGCGCTCCTCGGCCGCCTCGACCACCTGCGCGGGGTGCTCGAGGCGCCTCGCCGCGCCGAGCGCCTCGCCCACGGCGGCGGGGTGCCAACCGAGGGCGTCGCCGAGCTCCCCGCGGGCGGCCGGCGCCGCGTGCATCGCCCGTGGGTGCGTGCCGCCAGCGCCACGGAGCGGCTCGGGTCACGCTTAGCGCGCGCCTGCCGCCGACGCCGCCGCGCCAGCGTTAAGTCGGGCGTGTCCTTCTCCAGGAGGAAGATTCAAAAATAAGCAGGAAATAGTCTGGGGACGATTTGTTGGTATTTTGGAATATGTTTGGTGCATTCTTGGGGTATTTTTAATAGTTCCTCCAATATTCCCCTGTAAGGGGGCATGGCCGACTTAACGCCAGCGTGCGGGCGCTGGCAGCCGCCCACCTCCGAGCTACCCTCGCGGCCACTGGCGCGCGCCCACGGGCCCGCCGCGGGCGCGACGACGACGACGACGACGACGACGACGACGGGGTCGACGACGACGACGACGACGACGACGACGACGACGACGACGACGGCGTCGACGACGACGACGACAACGATGACGACGACGACGACGACGACGACGACGACGACGACGACGACGACGACGACGGCGTCGACGACGACGACGACGACGACGATGACGACGACGACGACGACGACGACGACGACGACGACGACGACGACGACGACGACGACGACGACGACGACGACGACGACGACGGCGACGACGACGACGGCGACGACGACGACGACGACGGAGGACGACGACGACGACGACGAAACACGACGACGATGAAGATGATGGCGACAGCAACGACGACGATGATGACGACGACGATAACGACGACGACGACCACCACCACCACCACTACCACCACTTTCCGCCCACAGGGCCGGGACCCCAGTGGGGACTCATCGAGCCTTGGCGGTGGGGGTCCCGAAGGCATCAGCATAAGAGCGGGGGGCCCAGAGAGGGGGGGGGGGGCGGGCCAAGGGCTCCAAGCTTCCCAAGAAGTGCTTGCATGTCGGGGCCTCAGAACCTGGGCCTGGCTGGCGGTCTGGCAGCTATCTTGTCACCGTCGCCCCCCCGCCGCCGCCTCGTCTGGGCCTGGCTGGCGGGCTGGCGCACTTGATGTCCTCGTCGCCGCCCTTCGCCGCCGTCAGTCGTTGTTGCTTATGGGCCTGAATGGCTGTCGCCGCGCTTGTTGTCGCCGTCGTCGGTGCCGCACAGCATACACCACGTTGACTGAGTTGAGACGGCTCCCTTTTCTACAGGAATTCGGATCCACACCCCCTGTGGATGTGCAGTTCACATACGATTTTGCCCCATCGTTGGATATAACAATGATTTCTTGACGCTTCGCGTATCCCCACCAGCCAGCCGACCAGGCAGGTCTACGCCGTCGACGCGGCCCTGGCCCTTGGTGCCCTCTGGCGACATGACCAGTGCGTACCTAGCCTTTACTTGCTACAGTGTTTGCGCGGATAGTGCGTGTAGGACACTCTCTGACTCGGCATGGCACCTACACCGTGGTGGACTGGCGCCCGCGACGTACAGTTGGGAATTCCCTGGCACTTTGCCACAGGTCTGCCTGATGCTCGAGCTTCCCTGGGCGTTGCAGTTCAGCCAGTCAGCCCCCCGCCGTCGCAGCCGCAGCTGCTGCCTCTGAGGGCTGGCCCGGCCGGCTTGCGCTGCGCCTTGTAGCTAATTAAGCTTGCCCGTTGGCCCGGAATTCCTTCTCGCCGCCTGCGCTTTCGCTTGCGGCCGAGACCAAAAAAGTATCCCCACCAGCCCGCCGCCAGCCCCCTCCACTCGCCGGCCCGGCCGCCGAGGTGCCGCGTGAGGCTTCGCCCCGCCGCTTTAGGTTTAATTCGTCTCTGCGCGGCCCGTTCCGACTCCACTCGTAGCTGGCGCGCTCGCCTGCGGTCGCTGACAAAAAAGTAGGCCCCACCAGCCCATCCAGAAACAATCAGCTGGAGAATTGGTGAATCAGGGGCGGCAGGACGCACGAAGTCGCGCCGCCGTCTTCGGGGAAACAAGGATCACACATGGCTTCCCGCATTGAATTTTAAGATGGAAATCCGTGCAAGCTGCGATGGTGCTTCGATGAGGGGTGAGGGGTGCTTCGATGACTCGTATGGTTGTTGCACTGACTTTTATCTTAAACTCGTGTGCGTCCCGAAACTGGGAGGCATCTTGGGGCTCATTTTGGATTCTCTTGGGCCCCCCTTGGGGCCTCCAGGGCCTCTTTTTTGAGGCTTTCTTGAGGTCCTTTTAGGGCCTCTTTGGGGCTTCTTGGGGCCGTCTTGGACCCTTTTTCGCTAAAAAAGAGAGGGGTCCTCAATTCGGACCCCCCCATCGGAGGCTCAAAAGTGCCATCCTGGGGCCCTCATGGCCCGCTCTTGCAGCGCTCTTGGGCGCTCTTGGGGCCGTTTTGGGCCTTTTTTTGGACCCCTCTTGGGGTTATCTTGGACCGTTTTGGGGCCATCTTGAGGCTTCAAAAGCCCACGGAAGGCGAAACAGCGAGAAGGCAAAAAACATTGTTTTCCTTTGGTTTTTAAAGGATGTTGGCCTCTTGAGGGGGTCCTCGGAGGCCTCGGACAGTAGGACAGCACTTGAAACCATCTTGGGGCCGTCTGGATGCCTCTTGGACGTGTGTCAGAGGCTATCTTGACCCATGTGCCGCTATCTTGGGCCATCTTGGAGGCCATCTTGCGCTCTCTGAGGCCCTCTTGGAGCCATCTTGGGCCATCTTGGACGCTGCTATGGGACGCCCCCCCCCCCCGTCCAAACGCATGGAGGGGGGGGGGGAGAAATAAACCTCCCAAGCAGGGAAAGAAAGAGGTTGGAACACGAAACGCCCTAGACCACCTGCGCCCAGAGGGCAAGTGGGATTCACATCATCCCAGCCAGGCCGGTATCGACACCCTCTTCACTTTTGCAAGAAGACGCTATACGCGCACACGTGTTTATCACTTGCGCGCGCGCCGACGTCACGCGCGCATGCCGGAAGCATTTCAAGTGTCCAGGATGCGTAACGGTTTCAAGATCATGTTTCCCAGAAGCGTATTACAATATACGGCTGCGCAGGACCATTTGTAAAATACATGCACGCGCGCGCTTTTTTGAATCTCTCACACACAGCCAGGTTTTCTTTCAACACTCTCATCAAACCCGACCAGACGGGCCTGTTGCGCGCGATTGTCGAAATCATTCGAACTCCCTTGCGCGCGTGCTCGGGGGGCACGGTCCGTGTGAAATAATACCAGGCGGGCCAGTCGCGCCCGTCGGCCGCGCGCATGTCGAAACCCTTCCGGAAACCTTCATCACCGACGCGTGGACACCACTGTCGTCATTGATATGATCAGCATTTGCGCCGTCGTTGTACTTGCCGTCATCATCGTCACCGTCGTCACCAGCATCGTTTCAATCATCATCGTGTTTGCCCTTGTCGGCGTCGCCATGATAAAGCGCCCGCCCCGCCCGAGTCACTGAGTCATACTGAAGTGCCCGCGCGTCAGCTCGGCCTGTGATACGCGTTGGGAGGTCCCCAGCGATCAGCGCCAACGCGGCCGCTTCTGTTGCGCCAGACTGGCCGGCCGCTTTGCGTGCGAGCTTGCGCGCGCTAGCCCAGCCGCAGCTATGCGCCAGCCAGCGCCGGGCAGGCACCACAATTGCCGCCTCATGGATGTAGGCCAGCCCTTTTGAACATGTGATTATTGCCTCCTTTGCGCCGCGCGCCGTGACTTTTTTATTAAGGAATCGCAAGTTTGAAATCCAAGGGATGGTGCTCTGGCGCGGTTTGGGTTGATCAGGTCGCAACAATCACATCGATTCGCGGTGGCTCAAATCCCTGAAATGGCTTTCTGGTGCGGTTGAAGATGCTCGTACGTATGTCTGTTGATGTTGAAGGTTTAAGAAACCGGAGGTGGAGGGAGGGTTTAACGCAGCATCTGTTCTTCGTCTTGGGTTTACACTGGTCCTCGTCCTCCTCCTCTTCGAGACCCCTCCTCTTCGCCACCCCCTTCCTTTTCCGATGGGTATGATGTGCGGACCCTGGCGGCAGAAGTTGGGTCCGTGGTCCGCGTGGCCACTTCGACGCTAAGAGGTGTTTACGTTATGCCCCCCTCAACCGCACAGGTTCTAGCCCCGAGAGATGCTTTGCGGGCGGAGGAGGATGCGGTGAGGGACGGGTTGGGTTGCCCTCCCCCCCCCTCTCGGGCCCTCCCCTCCCCCCCTCCGCCCCCTGCGCCTGCGCGGCCCCGCGGGCCCCCCCCCGGACGCAACATCGGAGCGGCGCCGTTGGCCCGACGCGCCCGCGCGACCCGCCGTGCCCGAGGTGGATGGCCTGATGGCGAGCCAGGCGGCCGCCTCGGCGGCGGCGGAGCGGCCCCCCCGGTCGGCGCGCGCGCGCTCCACCGCGGCGCCGCGAGGCAGGGAGGGCAGGGCCGACGACGAGGAGCCTCCCGCCGCGCGGCCCGGCGTCCATGCCGAGGTCGAGGAGGTCGAGGAGGTCGAGGGGGTCGAGGGGGTCGAGGGGGTCGAGGAGTTTTGGGAGATGTGGTTTTGGTGCCCTTTGTGGCGGGCCCGATTGTATTATTCGTATGTGCAGATGTTTCCCATCCGCTGTCCTGTGCACCTCCGGGTGTATGACCTCTTCCTTGCCTGCTTGGCGGGGATTCCCGGGGCGCCCTCATGGTGGCCGAGTCCGGGCGCCGCTCGGATTCCTGGTCGAGCCGCACCCGGCTTGAGGCTGATGGTGCCCTTGTCCAGGGACCGTCCAGAGCGATGTTCCTCTATGCCCACCTGCGGCCCTACCCCACCTTTGCTTCCCCCTGATAGAGGTCCCTATAAAGGTTTGACGATTGTTCGCCAATTCACTTGTGGGGATCGAGCCAGATCAATTCAGGTAAGTGCAGGTAAATCCAAGCAAACCCAGGCACATCGGGGCACATCCAGGTAGATCCACAGAGATTTCGAGAGAGAGAGAGAGAACTGAAGCGAATCGCGACCGCTGCAGCACGAGTCGAGGGACGTCGGAAGTCGTCGAGCCCTCAACGCAGAGGGAGAGGGGGCCCCCGGCCCCTGGGGGATGCTCGCCCTCCGCGGCCGCCGCTCGCGGCCTCCTGCCGGGGCCGCTCCCCGGGGTCCCCCCGGGATCCGGGAGAGAAGGGCGGCGGAGGACGAAGAGCGGTTGCCTCCTCCTCCCTCCTCCTCCTCCCTCCTCCTCCTCCTCCTCCTCCTCCTCCTCCTGCTCCTCCTCCTCCTCCTCCTGCTCCTCCTCCTCCTCCTGTTCCTCCTCCTCCTCCTGTTCCTCCTCCTCCTCCTGCTCCTCCTCCTCCTCCTCCTCCTCCTCCTCCTCCTCCTCCTCCTCCTCCTCCTCCTCCTCCTCCTCCTCCAGGGGAAGAGCCTTGGGCCCCCAGGTCCTTCGGGGCTGGGACAGGGAGGGGTGCCGCCACGGTCTGAGGCCCGAGGGCTTGTATTCCGCCGCGCGCGTTCCCACGGAATCAGCAGCTCGGGCAAACATCGGGAGAGCCTGCTCTTCCACGTCTTGAGCAGATGGAGGCCAGTGTGAGGCCCCCAGGACAAGCAACGGATGGCGATGGAGAACCGGCCCCAGGGGAGTGGTCGAGAGGTCTTTGGGGGGGCAATGTCTCGAAACATCGAGCCGCCGAATGTTTGTGGGTCGGGGAAGCCATTGTGTGCTTGCGTCCCTCCCGGTCACGGGGGAGGTCCGTCCGGATTTGGTTCGTGGCACGGGCGGTCAGGTGAAAGGTCGTTGGTCTGTTTTGCGGCGGGGGCAGAAGGGGTTTTAGCAAGCTGCTCCTGGGGGGCGATAATGTTAGCCCCAGAATTATAAAGGGAGGACCTTCCCCGTCCTCTTTCAAGGAGGGGAAGGAGCTCCTGGCGGAAAAAGAAGTGTTATGTTCCCCCCTTCGGCAATATGACCCCAGCCGGCGTTTCAGTTTTTTGTTGCCTGTTATGATTCGCGCGATGTCGAGAGACGTGGTTCGGGCGAAACCCGAAAAGCTTTTGAAGCACTCAAGACCATGGACTCATCTTAGGGGCTCTCTGGAGGCTCCTCTGCCACGCCACCTTACCCGGAGGCCCAGGGGGGGATCACCAACACCAACATCGGCGGTGTGCCGCCACCGAGGAAGGTGGTCCCAATAAAGAGTACCACCAGCACCAACATCTAGGATCCTCTTCTGCCGATGGAGGCGAACTCCTGTGTTGGTGTTGGTGCCCGCTTCCAGGCCGCCACCTCGCACCAAGCCTCGCACCGCTGCACCTGCACCGAGCCCCAGCCCCAGCCCCAGACATCCGCCGATGTGATTTTTTCGATTCTCGGCCCCAGAGGTCCCGACCCCTTCCCCCGGAGTGTTTCTTCTTCGTCCCAGATCCATGTTTGATGGCTCCCGGGCCCGAAAGAATGGGCCCCGGGAGCCGACGTCCAGGAAAAGCCGCCGGATGGAAAACGTCGGACCTCTGGGGCCCGGGCCCGAGCCCGAGCCCGTGCCAGGCCCGGGCCCCAGCCCGGGCCCCAGCCCGGGCCCGAGCCTGACGCCGAGGTGCTCGAGGGGCTTAGGCCGTATAGGCACGCCGCGGGCCCCTGGCGGCCCGCCGCTCGCGCGAGCGGCGGCCGGCAAAACGCGCGCGGGAGCCACGCCCCAGACGGGCTTGGCAGGCAGCACGCTTGAGCTCGGGACGATCGAAAGGGTGCGGAAAGAAAGGGCACAAAGACCGACAGCAGGTTCTGTTCATTTTGAACCGGACTCGCTGTCGGTTTCGCCACGGCCTGTGCCCGTTTGAGACAGAAGGCCGCCTGCCCAACAGCGGCCGCTGCTGGTTTCGGACAAGATTTGTTGTTGGGTAGGTGCCCATTTTCCGAACACATTTCGGGCGTCCAATTGGGCGTCGCGTAGTGATGGGGCGATAAGTGGGGAGGGGGTCAGCGGGGGCTGCAGAAAGGTGACCTCGAGGTCCCCTGAAGGGGACCGCGGGGGCTGCCAAGGGGGCCTCTAAAGGGTCCGAGAAGTGTATGCCTTTCTGCCCCCCCCCTCCTACAGGGACACATTTCTCGGACCTTGAGGGGCCCCTCTGGGGCCCTGGCGGCCTCCTTTCAGGGGCCCTCCAGGGCACCTTTTCCGCAACCCTCGCCGCCCCCCCACTTGTTAGCGCCCCCTCATCGAGCGGCGCCAAAGCACGCGCGCGAGCAGCCCCTGCGGGCCCCAGCAGGCTGAGGCGACTCCAGTCCAATCGAGGCAATGCCAGACGAGTCCCCAGACATGCTTGCGTCGTGACAAAAGTTACGACGGGCGTTTCTGACTCCAGTTTTCGGCGGCCTCTCGGGGCCCTCGGAGCGCCCTGGGACCGTCAAACAACGACTCGGGATGAATTTCTCGGGGGCGTAGATCAGCACAGTAACGTATATCTCTCCAGAGCAATTCTTTTGTTCCTCGACGGCGGCGGGCACTGGCACGCCCTGGCGAGCCGTTGAAACGATGCCAAACGCATGGTTGAGGGCCAGCGCAGGGGCCGTTAAGAGGGGGGCAGCTAACCGAAAGCGTCTGAGGAATGTTCGAGGAATTCAGGTTTGAAGTTTTGTTGTGTATTCCATGTGGTTTTTGGTGTGTACATCAAAAGTCGTCTCAAGCCACGGTTGGTTGGTGTCATCTGTTTTTTTTTCCCCCGGTTGAACCCGAGTGCACCAAAGTTCTGCGTCGCTAGGCAGTTTCGCTTGGCTGGGCGCCAGACGACTCCGCGGTTTGCCTGGGAGCGCGCCCCTGTGGGTTGTCGCCCCCCGCGTTCCCATGCTTGGCGGTTGTTCCTACGGGGCCTTGTCGTCGGCCGCCAAAGATTGATTGATTTTGCACCCAGAAATTGAGTACCGTACTTTTGCGAGCCCCCAAATTAGCGGCCCTTAGGAAAAAGGGTAGGGACTTTGGAGACCCTGTGTTGTAAGAGTCAGAACATCGTATGTCTAAGGTCGGGAACTTCTGGTCCGCGCGACGCTCCACCAGTTCTGGCCCACCACGCTTCGTCGCGACACGCCATCCACATCCCGTTCCACAGGCGTCATGACGTCACGGGTTTTCCTTGGCCGCCCGTCCCGCAGAGCGGACCGACACGCCATCCACTCAAAAAGCAGGGCACGGCGTGTCGCAGGGGCCGCCGCCGCGACACGCCACGCAAGAAGTCCCGACCGCCGCTACAGTCGGGGCGCTGAAGAAGGAACCCTTTTCGTTTGGGAGGGGCTCGGTGTTCCTTGATTGTTTCACAGTTTGCCGCAGGTTTTCCTTAGGTTTTCGATGGGACTTCGAAGTTTAACTTCTGGAGAAAAGGAGCCTCGTTCCTTATTTTGGGTTCCTTAGGTCAACGCCCCGACGGTATGCCCAGAGGTGTCAGGCAAGCCTGGACCAGATCGTGGGAGCCCCGGCGCGAGCCCTCACGAAGCCGCCGCCCACCGCCGTCGCCCATATGGCCCAGCGCTGGAGCTCCAGCGCTGGGCGCCCAACGCCGCCGCCCACCGCCCATCGCTGGGACCTGCGCTGGGTCGCCCCATCGCCGTCGCCCATCGCCCAGCGATGGGCGGCGGCGGCGGCCACGGCGACAGCCTGGGACAGCAGCAGCCACGAAGCCTTCGCAAGCCAAACTGCGCGCTGCCACGCCGCCGCCGTCGCCGTCGCCCATGTCCCATCGCGCCCAGACCTCCTCGCGTTGTGAAAAAAAACACGACGGGAGGTTTTTCATTACTTTCGGCCTCTGGGGACCTTTGCCGGGCCTCGGGACCGTCAAACAACGACTCAGGACGAAACGCCCGTGCCGGGGAAGGGGTCCAGACCTCTGGGGGTCGACGCGTCGACGCTGTGAGCAAAATCGCGACGTCAGGGACCTGGGACCCCATCGCTCATCGCTCATCGCCGCCGCCGCCGGCTGCCTCGGCGACGCCGTCGGCGTCGGCGGCCTCGGGCGTCGGCTTCGGCGGCGCCGTCCGCGTCGTCGGCTGCTGCGTCGCCGTCGGCGGCGGCGCCGGCGGCGCCCCGCGCGGGCGGGGGGCGGCCGTGGCCAGGAGCAGAGGCTGCGGCAGGAGTGCGCCCGCCTGCAGGCGGCGCTGCAGGGCGCCCAGGGCGCCGAGGCCGCGCTGCGGCAGGACCTCGAGCGGTCCCAGGACCCCGGGCGCGAAGCCGAGGGCAGGTCCTTCGCCTGCCACGGGGGCCAGTCTCTGTGGGGGTCGGGAGGAGGAGAGCTCAGTGTCGCTGGTGCTCCTCCTGCGGGGTCGTGCATCTAGCAAAAGCGGGGCCTGCCTTGCTGTTCCCTGGGCAAGTCCTCTGGAAAGATTTGGCCCAGGCCAGTGTTCTTCTCAGAAAATCAGTTTTCGTTAGTTCGCCCGTCGCTGACTCTGACGCCCAGTAGTCTGACCCCCACTGCCAGGCGAATGAGCAAGTTTTGCCGCCAACCCCCAGGGTCCATTTCGGTGCGATCCGACCCGATGTGATATCGATGTCGGCCGGTCCGATGCCATTCGATGCCGACAGTTTTCCGATTATCCGACGCGGACCGATCGTTGCACAGCGCTGTGGTGCATCCTGGCGCAGCTGATCCCATCCGATGCCGACTCCGTGCCGACGCGGTTCGATCCGACGCCGACGCCCATTCCGAGTCGGTCCGATTTCCAGATTCGCTGCTGCCTGATCCTGGTCCGCCCCCTTGCCCTCCAATGTCGAAGCCCAGTGGCGCATGCGGCTCGGTTTGCCGGCGCGGACGAAGCATATGAAGGAAGTCTTTTGCCTCCATACAGTGGACGCCCATGTCAAGAAACACCCTGCTTGCCTCCAGGGTGCTCTTGGTTTCTTGGGTTTCGATGGCTCTGCGATGGAGAACATGACGCTCCCAAGCCAAAACTCGGTGGACGTCCTGGGGTCTCAGGGTTGGGCTTCTTGTGGAAGGTCTCTTGTGGTCGGGCCCCTACTGCATCAGCACTGAAGCAGTGGGGTCTGGGGTCGGCGCCCCCCCCACACACTTATACTGTGTGTGCGTCGCCCCCCCCCCGGGACGACGCGCACACCGAGAAGCCTTCTGGTACATGTGTCGTGGCGGGCGCTTTCTGGCACCCCCGCTCTGGAAAGGATCTACTACGATGTGGGTATACTAAATGTTCGGGTCGGACGCGCGCCTCCGAGGAGGACATGTAGTATTAGTATGTCTCTGTGCGCCCCATGGGGCGCCGACGGCCGCGCGGGCAGAGCTTGCTCCGAGCCCCGCGGAAAGGTGCAGGACCCCTGCGCCCCCGAGTCTCGTGCTGCGCCGCCGGCCGCCTCTCCCGTGCTGCCGGTGCTCGCCCCCGCTCGGCTCGCACGTCCCGTGCTTCCCCCGCACGGCCCCTCCCGCAAGCAGTGGCGAGGCGTCCTGGCTCGCCTATAGCCCTACCAAGCAATGTTCTAAGAACCTTGTGTGGTGTCCACGAAATGTTCTTAGAACATGTCTGGCGGAGTCTGTCTTGTTTTATCACATCGGGGTTATGTTCTAAGAACATTGTGCTTGTTCTTAGAACGTTTTTGGGTTCTAAGAACATTTCGTGGTAGGACTATAGGAGTGCCAGGACGGTCGGTCCCTGCTCAACTCCCTGGCTTGTCCCCCCATTCCAACTCCTCTTCCTCCCTCCCATCTCCTATCTCCGCCTCCTCCTCCTCCTTTTCCATTGCTTTTCCTTCTAACGAGCTCCCCGTTGTCGTTCCGTTGGAGGTGCCTGTCGGCCGGGCCGGGCGTGCCGCGTGATGTTGTTCTGCAGTGTCCTTTCATGAAGCTAAGACTTGCAACCGTTACAGGCATGGAGGGCTGGTCGTTTTCAGAAAGCGGCTCGCGCCTTAGCGCCGCGCGCATTCATTGTCGAAGCTTCCACTTACACAGATGAATGGCCAGTTGTTTTCAAAATGCGGTTCTCGCTCAGCGCCGCGCACATGCTTGTAGTTTTTTTCAGCACTTGCGAAGATGGTGGCTGGTTCGTTCTCAAATTACGACTCTCGTCTGGAACGTCTTCAAGCTTCACGACCCGAAGTTCCACGTTGCGCAGCCCTTTCACTGTGGCTCCTCTTCAACAAGGGGCTCTCGCCATAGGTTCCCGCCAAAATTGCATTGCCGAGCCGATGGAGCTGTCGAATACTTAGACTTAAGTCGGGCATGTCCCTCTACAGGAGATTTGTTTATATCTAATACTTTGGCTACGCTTATTCGTCTTTTTCCAAAATCCGCCCGCAGGAGAACATGCCCGACCTGAGCTTAGACGGATTGAGGGCACATTTTCTCATACAGGGTTATCGATGAACCCTTCCTTCCCCTCGCGTGTTCTGTTAGCTGAGGGATGGAGGTCGGATCCTTTACAAAGCGAGGGTCACTCGCCCGAGTGACAGGCCTACCGCGCGCTCGTCGTTCATGGGCGACGCTTGCCGGCATGGAACAGAACATGTCCAGGGACGTTTCTCGTCCTCCTCGTCCTCCTCCTCCTCCTCCTCCTCCTCCCTCTCTTTCTCTCTTCTCTCTCTCTCTCGCTCTTTCCTCCTCCTCGTCCTCCTCCTCGTCCTCCTCCTCCTCCTGCTCCTCCTCCTCCTCCTCCTGCCAGGCCCTGCGCATGCCAAAGTAAGCACCACCTCGGGCTTGGGAGGGGCTCGCGTTTTCGAGCCGTTCCTGGGATCTAGATCGGAGAGCCTCTTCGTGGCCGAGGCTCGCCGTGGCCAGAAAAAGCCCCTCGGTTCGTTACTTCGCGATCCTTGTGGTTGGCCGACGACTGTAGGACTTGTGTACGCTAGCCTCTTCCCTCTTTGGGCTCCGCGATGCGGATTGCTCTTGTTGTATTGCTGTCGTCGCCCACCCACCCGCGCCCCGACCCACCCGCGACCCACCCGCGACACACCCGCGCCGCGACCCACCCGCAACTCGCCTGCGACCTTGCTACAACCAACTCGGCGCCTACCTCGGGCCGACCCACCCACACTGAATTTCAGAAGCAAGGTCGGCGCCTGCGGCCCGCTGTCTTCCATGGTGTGCCCCAGCCCGATGGGTAAAGCGGGGCGCTGGGCAGGTGGCCCGTTGGGCTGCTACCGTATCGGCTGTGCGCCGCCGGTCGCGCCCGCCTCTTCGCGAGGCGGGGTGCCTCCTGGGCCTGCGAGGAACTGCGGCGCGGTGCCGAGGCCCCCGCCTGGGAGTCTGCCCTGGAGCTCGAGGCCGCCGAGGCCCTCGGCGAGAGAACGGCAAAGCATACGACCATGTCCATGTCGCTTCCCTGCCCATCCTGCCAACTCGCGCGGGGGTGCCGCAGTTGATCGTCGGGCCCGCCATGCACGCGCACTCGGCGGACAGGTGGACCAGGCTTGGCTGGGCGTTCGGCAGCCCGTGAACCCCCAGGTGCACCAGCGGCATCCTTCCTGGCTGCGCGCTGGCCCTCTTCGTCCTCAGCCTGCAGACGCTGCCGCGGTACCGCCGCACGGGCGCGATCGACAATCACCTGCGGCGCCGGATCTGCGTGGGCGGCTTCGCCGGGCGCGGCGCCACGCGCACGAGGCAAGCGAGGCGGCGGAGGCGATCCCAGTCCTTCGCGATCACGGCGGCGACGAGGCGATGGCTGGCCGCGCAACCGCCGATCTCCACCGGCACCAGCCTCAAGGACAGCGCGGGGTTGTCGCAGGCGTCGGGCGCCGGGGCGCCGCGGCGCGGCTCACCCGCAGCGGCCGTGGTGCTTTTGATGGGTGCTGCGGCCGGTGCCGCCGCAGGCCCGTGCGGGGGGGCCTCCCGCGAGCGGGGCTGCCTGGCCCCGTGGTGACGTTCGGAACGCCGTCTGCTGCGGGGCCCTGCTGGCTGCTGTACTCCAAATCCCTTCTTCATCGACCCCCCCCCCTAAAAAACTGGACCCCCCTCCGCATGCGACCCAATATTCCGGCCCCCTTCTTCGATGGGGCGCCTCGATAAACCGGACCCCCTAGGCTCCAATCCAAAGAAAGCGCCCTATTAAACCGGTCCCCCCCAGTTGCAAAAAAAGGCGCCATAAAAACCGGACCTGGGGGACGATTAATAAGGGATTTGGAGTAGAGGTGATTTTGGGCGCGTTCAGTCCGAGTAAGCGCCTTGGCCCAGCGGCCGTGGTCGCGTTGACGCCGTCGTGGCAGTTGGCCAAGGCGCTGCGGCGCGGGCGGTTCCCCCAAAAGCTCCAGCGTGCAGCGGAGGGTGTCACTGCGGTCGCGGCCAGGGCCCGCGGCCGCTGCGCGCAGCATGGCGGAGCTGCAACTCGGCCCCGACGTGGGATGCTGGCGCGGGGCCCCAGCTGCGTCGGCAGGGTGGCGAGCTGCGGATCAACCGCAACAGGACGCGCACGATGTGCTTCCCGCAGCCCCGGCACGGCGCCAGGTCCTCGCGTCTGTCGCCCGTCGCGCGGACCTCGCGCACGTTAGCGCTGGCGTGAGCTGGGTCACGCGACGCTTGCTGGAAAGTGGCCAGCTCGCCCCAGACGCCGCCGGTGTGCGCAGGGCAGTGCTGACGGGAAACGTGATCACCGAGTCGGTGGCGGCCAAGTGGGGCAGGCTAGCGCGCTGCCCGCGCTGCGGTGCCGAGCGGGAGGACAGGCAACTCCGCTGCTGGGATTGCCTGCGGTGGAGGTCCAGGGCCCCGCCCTGGCGCGGGGGTTCCTGGGGGGGTACGCGTCCGCCGCCCTCCTGGCTCCTGGCGGCTGGGGTGTTCAATTCGGGCGTCCTCGCGCAAGACGTCTGGCTGGCTGCGCTGGCGGCCGCCGCCTCCGAGGCGGCGCTGCCAGCGCCCGCGCTGCCCCCAGGCCGTGCTGCGGCGCTGCCGTGCCTGGGCGGATGTGGCCTGCGACGACCTGGCCGACCCGCTCCCGACGCGAGCTGGCTAGGGCCTGCGGCTGCAAGGACCTGCGGGGCCCCCAGCGGGGCATTCCGGACCAGTAGACTGCGCAGGCCGAGCAGCGGACCGAGCTGGCGGCAGCGCTGCATGTTGTTAGCCAGGCTGGCTCCCCGATGGGATCATCACCGAACCGCAGTATTTGCGACATGGAGTGGTCGTTCTCCAGAACGACGCCTTGCCACGCGACTAGGCGCACAGTAGCTTGAGGGCACTGCTGGCGCCTTTCTGCCAGACTGGCTTCGCCGTTGCGCTGTGGGCCATGTAAGGGCCACCTCGACGCGGTGGTGGCAGCGGCGGAGCGCGGGGTCTCCGACGAGGACATGGCAACGCCGCGGTGGCGGCCAAGGCCCACCTCCCGTCGTCGGAGCTCCAGCCGCGACGCGGGGTCCAGTTGCACGCGCTGAAGGTGTTGCAGAAGATGCTCGCCGAGGTCGAGTTCGTGGCCCTGAAGGCCAATCATGGCAGCGGCGGCCCTGGCGGCCCTCGCTTGCAGCGGCGCTGGGCGGGGCCTCGCACTCGGCCGTGGCGGCGGCGGTCGCCCCCCCGGGGCCAGGGCCGCGAGGTCGCCGCCCCGCGGCAGGGTGACGCCGCAGCGGTGCTGCGGTGCAGGCGCTGTTCGCTGTCAGCGCGTGGCGCGCGCACGTGGCCTCGCAGGGGCCCGGTTGAGTCGCCTGCCTGCGCTGCGGGTGTTGGGCGCCGCGGTGGCGAACCCTCGCGAGCCCCCCGTGCGGCGGGCGGGTGGCGATCCACCCGTCTCGTGCGGCTGGGCTACTGCTGCTGCTGCTGCTGCTGCTGCTGCTGCTGCTGCTGCTGCTGCTGCTGCTGCTGCCCTGGGCACGCGTACATAGGCGGGTCCGACGCCGCGTGGAGGGTTTCCTTGCGCAAGCGCCTCATTGAGCGGCGGGGGGCGCCAGGTTAATTAGTCGGCGAGTTCGCCCGGGCCGGGAAGCGAGGGCGCGCCCCAACCCCCGTCCTTCCCACCTCCCTCTCCCCACCTCCCCTCCATTCGTGCCAAAGGGCTTCCTGGCCCCTGTCAACAAATTACCTCTGCTCAACCCAAGAACTCCGTATGAAGCTCCGACATTGTCGGTTTATGTTGCAGTTTCCTATTTTGTTCGCTTCTGTTTGTCCGCGTTCTGCCATAGCCGCACTGACCAGGGTACGTACTACGACTCTTGACCCACTTGATACGTCTCGCGACAGCGTGAGCGTTTATGCTATGTTGCCTCTTCTGGTGTCTCCGTTGGGTTCCGCATTCAGCGTTTATGTTATGTTGCTTCTTCGGTTGCCTTATTTGTGCTCCGCGTCGATTGGATAGAGTTTCTCATCCTTGGGGTTGCTGAGCAGCACAGGCGTGACTTGACTTCGACGTGTGGTCTGTCCTGTCTTGCACGAGCCCGACACCGTTCCAAAGCAGGGACCTATATGAATGCTGAAGACGAGGCGAGCATCGGCACTGCACTCGTCGTCTTCTTCCTCCTCCTCTTCTTTCCCTCCCCCTGCCCCTGCTCGTTCGCTCGTCCCCTCCCCCCACCGTCCACTGCCTTCTCCTTCCTCGGAGGGCTGCGGAAACACGAGGAGGAGGATCTGGACGGCCTCCGCATTCCTTCTGACCTCTCCCTCGGTGCTCTTGCATTCGTACACGGTTGCTTCCGTGCCGTGCACGCTCACCGCAGAAGGGAGCGGGAGGAAAATGACCAGACCGAGACATGCGACGAAGCCGTTTCCCCGCACCCAAGTGCCAGAAGGGGGGGGGGGGCGATAAAGGGGGGTGAGGACATGTGAGGGGGCGATAAACGGGGGGCGAAAATACCGGGCGTTGCGTATAGGGAGGGGGGGGGGGGCGACACAATGGGGGGTGAAGAAGGGTGCGCTCCTAGTGCCCCAGTGGGGCCCGGATGGGGCCTCAGAGGAGCACGACGGATTCACGTTTCGCCCCTCCCCACCTCCATTTATCTCGGGGGCGGCAAAGAGGGGGGTGATGACTGGGGGGGTGGATATCATAGCGTGGGCCATGATGTTTCCTCGGATTTCATGGCGCCTCTTCTTATTTCATTACGCCCCTGGCCCCCCTTGGGCCGCGCACATGCCGCTGGCCACGATTTGCATCCCCCCTCTTGGACGCCCCCCTCTTGGCCGCTCCCGATTATCCCTTTCTCCCCCCCTAATCAGCGCCCGATCACATACCACTGCTGGGCCTCCAGAGGCTCGATCCGTCCCCACGACCGCGCGGGGAGAGGAGTGCCGGCCCCCCTGCGCGCGCAGCGAGGCCGCGTGCGGGCACGTCGGCCGGCCCACTCGGCGTGGCCCCCGGGCCTCGAGGCGCAACAACTCGCCGCGGGGCCGCACGGAACCAGAGCGCCTGCGCCAAGATTCGCCTCCCCCGGATAGGACGACGACGACGACGACGACGACGACGACGACGACGACGACGACGACGACGACGGCGTTGATCACCGCTCACCAAACCACGCCAACCCAACCCGAAGGCCCCGGTTTGTCCTCCATTTCCAGTTGGGGTCGGGGGTCGGGGAGCATTGGAACAAAAACACATATGGAGCCCGTACGCCCCCAACCCGAAATTCGGGTCTTCGGGTTGGGTTGGGGTGGTCTGGTAGGTAGCCAGTTAAGGGCGAGGAGGTGTGCAGGGAAAAGGAGGAGAGGCAACCTGCGGAAGAGGTCGCACGCGAGCCTCCTCTGCCCTGGATGATGGCGAACCCTGTGCCTTGGCCAAGCGCGCCGCGGCGCGCCAGCCAGGAGCAGGTTCAGAAGGCGGAGGACGCCCGGCAGCGGGAGGAGGCCCGTTTTTCCTCCTCCTGCTTCCCCCCCCTTTCGTCCGCCTCATTGTTGCCCTCCCTCCCACTCTCTTCGCGTCACCTCGTCGCATCCTGGTCGTCTTGCCCTTTCCCCCCTCCCCCTTCTCTCATTCTCGTCCTCATCCTTCTCCTCCCCCTCCTTCTCCTCCTCCTCCTCGTCTTCCTCTACAGTTCCTCCCACCTCCTCCCTCTCACTCATGTTCGCGTGCGTCCTCCATTCCCCTCGTAGTCTTCGTCCTCCTCCTCCTCCTTCTCTTCCTTTTCATCTTGCTCCTCCTCCGAGCCCTCCTCCACACCCTCCCTCCGCATCCTTGCTGGCGTCGTCTTCCTCCTCCCCTCCTGCTGCTGCTGCTGCTGCTGCTGCTGCTGCTGCTCCTCCTCCTGCTCCTCCTCTTTCCCTTCTCGTCGCCGCTGTTCTCCTCCAGCTCTCGCCTCTGATCCTCCCTCCCCTTCGTCGTCGTCATTGTCTTCCTCGTGCTGCCCGCCTCGAAGCAACCGTGCGGAGATCCGAGATCCTACGTTTACACAGGTTGCTGTTCCTCTTTCCTCCTCTTTTTCCTCCTCAGCCGACGACGACGATGGCGATGACGATGACGACGACGATGACGATGACGACGATGACAATGACGATGATATCGTCATCGTCATCGTCATCGTCATCGTCATCTTCATCGTCACCTCCTCCTCTTTTCCTCCGTCGGTGAGCTTCCCTCGTCGCACCAGCAGGCGTGTCGACAGGGCGGCCCCCAGCAGTCAGTTGCACAATGATGGATGCGGGGTGGTTTTGGGCACGCGGTTATCGACTTGCTCGCCACTGCATTCGTCTGGAATCGGGGAAGCGTAAGAGTCGAGTAAACTGGAACTCGGGTTTGCCGAAGATTTTTGCCGAGCGCATCCCGGATTTTGACGGTCCAGTTTTTGTGGGATGTCTGCAGCGGGAGCCCGCGTCAAATTTCAGATTGGGTCTCGTCATTTTTATGATGGCCCCCGTCAGGCCAACCCGAGTCCCCCGTCCCCGAGTCTTCCGTCTCCCAGATGGAAGCGCTCCGAACAAGCGCGGCGGCACCCGACAGTTACAAAGATGGAGGACGGTCGGTTTGAAGCATGTGGTTCTCGCCTTGCTCGCCGCGACATTCGTCTGGAAGCGCTCCCAACAAGCAGACGGATAGCAGGCGGACCGTTGACAATTTTGGGGTATCGCCGTAGCGCCGCGCACCTTCGTCTTTAAAATGTGTCATCAGCTACGCGGGTGCAGGACAGGTGGCTTTCAAAGTTCAGTTCTCGCCGTAGTGTCGCGCGCGTTCGAAGGTGGAGCGCAGGTCGTTATCAATATGCTGTTCTCACCTCAGCGCCGCGCACAAGGGGATAGCGGCTACTTTTCAAAATGGGGCTCTCGCTGGAGTATTCTCCAAATCATGTTGTAATCATGTTGGGGTGTTTTTTCAAAGTTGGGCTATCGCTTGAATTGGCCATGGTTCTTCCTTGTCCAAGCGGGACTCCCGCCTGCGTGGCACGTTGATGGGGCCCTTCTTCCTCTGAGATGGCGCTCCTCGTACAAAGTGAGCTGTAGGGCCCGTAGGGGGTTTATGAGGGGGGGACTTGGGACGGGAGGGTCAGTTGCAGCATCGTTGACGCATCTTGCGTAGCATCACCCCTGCTCGTCGTAGCATCCGTTCACGGTCAGAAACTCGTGGTTAGCGTGTCGCGCCGCCAGTTCTGGCCCACCACGCCTCGGCGCGACACGCTGGCTATTCACTTCCCAGTCCCCAAGCGTTAACGTCTCACGTTGTTGTTCAGCCTCCCATCCCGCGCATCGCGGCGACACGCTATCCGCTCGGAGGGCACGCCGTGTCGCCGGGACCGCCGACGCGACACGCTGAGCAAAGGTTCCCAGCCGCAGCTCATGCTGATGCTGCTCATCCTGCTCCATTCTTAATTCGGAAATGAGGACGAAGCAGGAGCGGTATTGAGGATGAACGGGGGGAGGGAGGAACGAAGAGGAGGACGAGGGAGGATGAGGAGGAATTTAATTCCTCTTTTTTTTACGGCAGACCGACCTGAGCGTGAACGCTGTGGCGTTTGACTATGTGTGAAAACAATGATGCAACCATGCAGGTAGACGACTTGTCGCAAAAAGACCTGGCAGGCGCCGCAGAAAATGAACTAGGTAAACAAACGTATAAGACGAGTAAAACGAGTAGGCGCTCGCCAGGTCCTCGAGGTCGGCACTGACCTTAGCGATACGTGCCCCCAGTAAGTAAGATCCCCAGTAAGTAAACACCCTTGACTTTTTTACTGATGGTGACGCCTCGGATGGCAGGGATAAAAATAGGATGTAGGACGCGTCGCAGTGTAAGCGATCGTCCCTCTTTGGCCTGCGAAGTGTATGCGATCTTTCCGAGTCCACCCCCCCTCCTCAGCCCCTCAATCTCCATCTTTTGTTTCAGAATAAGTTCCTACTTGGCAGGCTGCAGTTGTGAGCAAGAGAAGGGCACTGGCTGTGATGGTTCTAGCATGTGCTTGCTAGTAGAAATGGTAAGGTTGTAAAGACGTTGCGTTGTGCCGCCGAAGAGCAGATGCTGCCGTCGGGTCCAGTGAGAAAAAGATGCTGCTGGCAATGCTGTGGACCGAGGCATCGTGCAAATTAAGAGCTGCGAGTTGTTAAACAGTGTCGTTGTGTCGCCAAAGTGCAGTTGCTGCCGTAGGCTATCCACTACTCCCACCCAACTCCAGTCAACCTCCGCCTCCAATCCATCTTTCCAGTGTGCCGCTTTGCATGTTGCTGGTACTAAGCTTTCCCGCTCTTCGGTTCCTAGGTGGAGGGGCCACCCCGTCACCGCATTTATGTCAGGAGTGTGGGGGTAGGTACGCGGGGGGGGGGGGCAGCGAGTATAGGTCAATTGCGTGCGGTCCGTAGGCTGGCCTGTGAGGTCGACGGCTGGCCTGTAGGCGGTATTGTTTCTTTTACCAGTCCTATGATTGTATGCTGCGAGTTGGCAGCAGAGTTAGGCTGGACTGTGTCAGGATAAGGCTGGCCTGAAGGCAGTACAGCTGTACCAAGTATTAAGAAGGATAGGTATTGCTGCAAAGACCAGTATGGTCGTTCTCTCCCTCCACCTTCGCCACCTCCAGCGGTCCCACCTCCACCGATCAGGCTTGCCTGTAGGATGAGGCTGACCACAGGATAAGGTAGAGGACAATTAGAAGTGAGGCAAGACAACTGTGAGGTGATACGAACAGTGAGGTGGGGGTTGGGTAAAGACAGTAGTACGGGGTCAGTCGTCAGTCCTTGTGGAGACCTAAGTGTACACGTTGTGTGCGGCAATAGGGTTTTGAGAAGGTTTACCTTTGTCCTCCCTGCCGAAGGGAAGCGTGCAATCTTGGGGCTGCGACCCAGGGCTTTGTAGGATTACCCCGAACCTGCATATGGAGAGAGGTGCCACCATCGTGTCGGGGCCGCGGAAAGGAGGGTGTATGGCAGACCACGTATGTGTGAGAATGCCCGGTGGAGTGTAAAAGAGTGGCGTTGTGTCGCCAAAGTGCAGTTGTAGCCTTCAGGTCTAGTGAGAGCGGATGCTCCTGGCAAATGTGGTTCGTAGCCTTATGCAAGCAAGCTCTACGCTGCAAAATTGCGGCGATGCGTTGCCAAAGTACAGTCAACGCCGTACGGTATCGACACCACCACCTCCTCCTCCTCCTTCTTCTCCTCCTCCTCCTCCTCCTCCTCCTCCTCCTCCTCCTCCACCTCCACCCGTCTTCCTCCTCTCTCAGCCTCTATCCTCCGCCTCCTCCTCCACCCTCCCTCCTCTCCTCTCTCCGCCTCTATCTTCCTCCTCCACCCTTCTCCACGTTCCTCCCTCCTCCATCCCACTGCCTCCCCTCCTCGATAAGAGGGGGCAGGTGCCCTCGCCGCCGCCCCGAGGCCCTCCGGCTGCAGGCGGAGGCCAGGCAGCTGCAGGGCGGGGAGCCGCTGGAGGCGGCGCCGCCGCTGCGACGCCGTCCGCCGTCGCCCTCCTCGGGTGCGGGCATCGGGCTGCTCCTTCCTGCTCCTCCTTCCCCTCCTCGTCCCCCTCATCGTCCCCCTCCTCCTCATCCTCCTCCCCCTTCTCCCTCTCCTCCTCCTCCTCCTCCTCCTCCTCCTCCTCCTCCTCTCCTCCTCCTCCCTCCTCCTCCTCCTCCTCCTCCTCCTCCTCCTCCTCCTCGTCTCCTCCTCCTCCTCCGCCTCCCCTCCTCCTCCTCCTCCTCCTCCTCCTCCTCCTCCTCCTCCTCCTCCTCCTCCTCCTCCTCCTCCACCTCTCTCTCCGACTCCCCCGCCTCTACCGCCTTCCTGTCGCTTCGAAGAAGGAGGAGGAGGAGGAGGAGGAGGAGGAGGAGGAGGAGGAGGGGGAGGAGGAAGAAGGGAGGAGGCCGATGGGGAAGACACGTGAAATGAGGAGGAGTAGTAGGGGTGGAGGATCGAGGCTCCAGGACTGAGGTTCTCGGACGCTCGCGGCCCGCTTTGAGCCTACAGGGGGGCCCTCGTCACCACGGCTGCATCCTTCTGGATACCAATGTGACAGTCCTTCGCTGGCCGACCGCCTGATGTTCCGGCTCGTGGGGCAACCGGGGAGCCGCCTCACAAGCTGTGCGCCCCTGTGGTCCATCACCTGCCTCGTCCCCCCTCCACCCTCCAGACTTTTGGAGGTGGGCGTTTCTCGGCGTTGCAGGTGATGTCGTCGAGGGAGGTCTTAGCATCCTCGCCCAGCGCCCTCTTGGAGTCGTTCCGGGCGCTGCGCTGCGTCACTGCGCCGCGCATGTCCTGGACCGTGCTCCCATCTCGGCACCGTGAGCCTGTCCTGGTGAACCAGCAGCAGGGCCAGCACCCGCGTCAGCCCATGCCTTGGTCTATTCGATGTTTCGATGAAGAAAAAACGCCGTAAGCATGTACTTTTGGCGCTCCTCGCGGATTTCTTGGATCCGGGCTGGGGCCCCCTGGCGGCGCCTCCAGCGCCGCCTCTGACGCGCTCCGCGCGCCAGGGATGGGGTTCTAGCCCAGATCCAAAACATCCGCGCGGACCTCCAAACGTTTATGCTTTGCCGTTTTTCCTTCCTCTAGTGCTTGCATTCTTGACAAGGGCCCTGGCATTGGCGAGCCCAGTGTCCTGAGCTAACATCGGACACTGCCGCGGCAAGCTCGGCCTCGGGCGGCTTCTCCGACTCCTGCAGGGTGGCCCTGCGCTTCTCGAGCTCGCGGATTTCTGCAGAGCGGTCTTAGCGGGACTGCAGCTAGAGGGTTGCGCCAACATCTGCCCGATCCGGGCCGCCTCTGGGCCGTGCTGATGGTTCCGGTAGGCGGTCGGGGCGCCCACGGAAATCTTGTTCCTTCGCCGACTCTGCCTTTGCACGACGGGTATCCGTCGCCGTTGGTTCATGATGCTGCCAGGGGGCACGGGCGGGGGCGGCCCATGTTCATGCTCTTGCGTGCTCCCCTGAGGTGCAGGCGTCACACGCCGACCCGAGTGCTCACGGCTTGCAGGGCTGCCATGAATCGGGGGTGGACAGACCTCCTACCCTGACACGTCGATTAGTGAATTGGCCGTTTTCGGCTCGCGAGAGGGCGTCGCGGACGTCATTTTTGCGGGTCCAGGTCCGTCGGTTTCGGTCCCAGGCCGTTGTCACTAAAGGGAGGTTTACTAAAGGGAGGTTTGTCCACCGCCGAATAAATGCCACGCGCAGCTTGAACCATGTTGCTTGCAGCGCGCGTCGCTTGCATCACATAGTAGCGTGCACTACACAGCTCACGCACCTGGAGTGCAAGAGCTCACTGCTTGTGAGCCCGCGCTGTCAAACACATGTCTCATGGTCCTGATCTTGTTGCAAATTGCCCCCATTGCCCTCCCCCCCTCTCTCTTTGCCCTCCCTCATTCTCCGTCCCCCAGCTCCTTGAACCCCGTCCTCCAGGACCCCCAGTGCACGGGCAGAGAATACCTCAACGCGCTGGGAAGGGATGGGCGGGCGGGGCGGGATGCCAGATGTGACGCGAACGCGCGCCTCTCGCCCTCCCTCCTCCCCCCCGCCTCCCGCACTGTCCTCCCCCCCTTCCCTCCCGCCCCTCCCCATCCCTCCCTCCTTCCCTCCCGCCCTCGAGCTTCCCCTTCCCTCCCCTTTTCCTCCCCTTCCCCTCCCCCCCTCCCTTCCGCTCCGTTCCTTCCTCTCCCTCCCCTCCCCTCCCCTCCCTGCCCTCCGTCCCTCCCCTCCCCTCCCCTCCCCTCCCCTCGCGCTCCTCGAGCCCCCCTCCCCCCCTCCCTCCCTCCCTCCCGCCCTCCTGCCGTGGCGCCCGCAGGACGTGGCCGTCGGACCACGGGCCGCCGAGCAGCCCGGGGGCCCGACGAGCGGCGGAGGCGACGGCCAGGCAGTCGGGGAGGCCCCGTCCGCCTCGGCCAAGAGGGAGGGGGGGGAGAGGGAGGGAGGGAGGGAGGAGGAAGGATGATGATGATGATGATGATGATGATGATGATGATGATGATGATGATGATGATGATGATGATGATGATGATGATGATGATGATGATGATGATGATGATGATTGATGATGATGATGATGATGATGATGATGATGATGATGGTGATACTGATGCTGATGCTGATGCTGATCATGATAATGCTGCTGCTGATGATGATGATTATTATTGATGGTTGATGGTTGATGATTGATGATGTTGTTGATGATGAAGATGATGACCATGATGATGGTGATGATGCCGAATAAGGGAGATGATACTGATGATGGTGATGGTGATGATGCTGCTGATGATGATGATCATGCTGATGCTGATGCTGGTGATGCTGATGATGCTGATGATGCTCATTGGTGATGCTGATGCTGATGATGCTTTTGGTGATGATGCTGATGCTGATGCTGGTGATGCTGATGATGCTGATGATGATGGTGTTGGTGATGGTGACGGTGATGGTGACGGTGGTGATGATGAGGAGGAGAATGATGAGGAGAAAGCGGAGGATTCCAGGAGAACGAGGAGTGACGAAGGGAGATGGGGGTATGACGGTTGTGGTGGTGATGATGGTGATGGTGATGGTGTTGGTGAAGTTGATGTTGATTATGTTGGTGATGCTGATGCTGCTGATGGTGACGATGGTGGTGGTGTTGGTTGTGGTGATGGTTAAGCTGCTGGGTTTACGTGACGATATGTACTGATGCCGATGAGGATGGGGATGATAATGAGGATGCTGAAGATGGTGATGATGATGAGGATTATGAGGATGCTGGTGGTGATGATGGTGCGGATGATCCTGATGATGATGCTGATGCTGATGATGCTGATGAGAATGATGAGGATGAGGAGGATGAGTACGATCATGATGACGATGATGCTGATTATGACGATGATGGTGGTGGAAAAGGTGATCGTGATGGTTGTGACGATGATGACAAGGAATATGATGACAATGATGATGATGCTGATGATGATGCTGATGACGATGATGATGATGATGATGATGATGATGATGATGCTGATGCTGATGCTGATGCTGATGATGACGATGATGGTGATGAGGATTGTGATGCTGATGACGAGTAGGAAGATGTTGATGATAATGATGACGATGAGGACGGGGATGCGGGTGAGGACGCGGATGAGGATGAGGATGCGGTTCAGGTTGATGATGAAGATGAGGATGAGGATACGGATGAGGATGAGGATGTTGGTGATAATGAGTATGATGTTTGTGGTGATGGTGATGGTGGCGATGACGACTATGATGATGATGCTCATGTTGACGTTGCTCATGATGGTGGTAATGAGGAGGAGGATGGGAAGAACTGATAAGGATAGGTATTGAAGAAGAGGAGGAAAAGGAGGGAGTGACGGAGGCCAACCCCTTTTCGCATGAATTGATCCCTGCATTGTAGTCGATGGTTGGCTCGTCTGCGTTTCGCACCTGCCTGCTTTCTCGCACTGGCAACGTCTGCTGCCACTGCCCCCTTTCACACAAGCTGACCCCAGTCATTCTCGCAATGGCCACAGTGCCTCTCACAGGCATGCTGCTTGAGCTCTGCGAAACAAAAAAAACTAGCCGTGGTCGCCAGGCAAGTAAGAACGATGCGAGGACAGGTATCAAATAATCAGACAGCCACGAACAAGCACGAGGGCCGTAAGTTCGTTTACGGCTTGTGTGTTTGAGTTGTGCGGGCAAGGGCAGAAAACAGTTGTGTGGGCAGACAGCGATGCACATAGTCGTTAACCCGATATGTGTTGCCGAAGATCTGGGCAGCCTAACGATCTTCGCCAGCGCCTGTGAGACAACATCTGTGTGTCATGCTACTCGGGAGTAGAAGCCCAGTCCCCACATTCCAGGTTGTTCATCACATGCGCAGGCTGTATTGTCATTCGCACATCGGGCGTAGCATCATGGTAACTCGGAATGCATGCTTCCCTCCCGCCCCCTCCCCATCCCTCCCTTCTTCCCTCCCGCCATCCTGCTTCCCCGTCCCTCCCCGTCCCTCCCCTTCCCCCCCCCTCCCTCCCTTCCCTCCCTTTCACGCTTCCTTCCTCTCCCTCCCCTCCCCTCCCCTCCCTGCCCTCCGTCCCTCCCCTCCCCTCCCCTCCCCTCCCCTCGCGCTCCTCGAGCCCCCCCCCCCCTCCCTCCCTCCCTCCCGCCCTCCTGCCCTTGGCGCCCGCAGCACGCGGCCGTCGGACCACGGGCCGCCGAGCCGCCCGGGGGCCCGACGGACGGCGGGGGCGACGGCCAGGCAGTCGGAGAGGCCCCCGTCCGCCTCGGCCAGGAGGGAGGGGGGGAGAGGGAGGGAGGGAGGGAGGAGGAAGGATGAATGATGATGATGGTTGATGATGATGATGACGATGATGATGATGATGATGATGCTGATGATGATGCTGATGATGATGATGATGACGATGATGATGATGATGATGCTGATGCTGATGCTGATGATGATGATGATGATGATCATGGTGATGGTGGTGGTGGTGATGATGATGATGCTGATGCTGTTGTTGATGATGATGGTGATGATGATGATGATGATGATGATGATGTTGGTGATGATGACGATGATGATGATGACGATGATGCTAAGGATGCTGATGATGCTGCTGATGCTGATGATGATGCTGACTGGTGATGATGATGCTGATGGTGATGCTGATGGTGATGATGATGGTGATGATGATGGTGGTGATGGTGATGCTGCTGATGATGGTGCTGATGATGCTGGTTGATGGTGATGTTTGACGATGCTGGTGATGCTGATGATGATGATGATGAGGATGGCGCTGCTGCTGCTGATGATGATGATGATGTTGATGATGCTGGTGGTGATGATGATGGTAGTGGTGATGGTGATGGTGGTGATGGTGATGGTGGTGATGGTCACGGTGGTGATGATGAGGGGGAGATGGATGAGGAGAAGTCGGAGGAAACCAGGAGCACCAGGAGGGACGAAGGGAGATGGGGGTATGATGGTCGCGTTGGTGATGATGGTGGTGGTGCTGGTAGAGGTGGTGATGATGCTGATGATGTTGGTGCTGCTGATGGTGAAGATGGTGGTGGTGGTGTTGGTTGTGGGGATGGTTCTGGTGCTGTCGATTGTGACGATGCTGATGTCGATGTCGATGAGGATGAGGATGAGGATGATAATGACGATGATGAGGATGGTGATGGTGATGATGAGGATTATGAGGATGCTGGTGGTGATGATGATGCTGATGCTCATGATGGTGCTGATGATGCTGGTGAGGATGATGAGGATGATGAGAATCACGAGGATGAGTATGCTGATGAAGATTATGATGGTGGTGGTGATGGTGATTGTGATCGTGATGGTTGTGATGATGATGAGGATGACGATGAGGATTATGATGCCGATGATGATGAGTAGGACAATGATGATGGTGATGATGATGACGATGAGGATGGGGATGCGGGTGAGGATGAAGATGAGGATGAGGATGCGGATCAGGCGGATGGTAAGGATGATGATGAGGATGAGGATGGTGGTGATACTGATTATGATGTTTGTGGTGAAGGTGATGGTGGCGATGACGATTATGATGATGCTCATGTTGACGTTGATCATGATGGTGGTGATGAGGAGGAGGGTGGGAAGGACTGATAAGGATAGGTATGGAAGAAGAGGAGGAAAAGGAGGGAGGGAAGGAGGCCAACCCCTTTTCGCATGAACTGATCCCTGCATTGCAGCTGATGGTTGGCTCGGCTGAATGTCGCAACTGCTTGCTTTCTTGCACTGACAACGTCGGCTGCCACGTCCCGCTTCTCACACAAGCTGACCCCAGTCATTCTCGCACTGCCCACAGCGCCTCTCACAGGTATGCTGCGTGAGCTCTGCGAAACATGAAACTGGCCGTGGTCGCCAGACAAGTAATAACGATGCGAGGACAAGTTTCAAATAATCAGACGGGCACGAACAAGGACGAGGGCCGTAAGTTCTCTTACGGCTTGTGTGTGTTGAGTTGTGCGGGCAAATGCAGAAGACAGTTGTGTGGGCAGAGAGCGACACACAAGGTCTTTAACCAGATATTTGATGCCGAAGATTTGGGCAGCTTCGCGATCTTCTCCATCGCCTGTGAGACAAAATATTTTTGCCATGCTACGCGGGAGTAGAAGCCCAGTCCCAGTATTCTAGGTTGTTCATTGCATGCGCCGGCCGTAATTTGCATTGACACATCGGGCGTAGTATCATGGTAATTCCGTCTTCCTTACCCTGAATGTGCGCCTCGGTTGGAGACCACACAGATCCAACGCTAGTTAGGCGAACATGTTCAAATGGAAGTCCGAGAGAGAGAGAGAGAGAGAAATCCCGACGCTTTGCACACCACCCTCCTCAAACATATCGCGTCCCATGTCAGAGATGGAGCTCTCCACGGCAAGGTTGAAGTCTTCGTGCATCGATGTGGCACAGGCCGCCTGGAGCGGAGGAAATTCGAATCGCTGGATTCAGAATCAGTGAGTCGGACACTGCGATGCGCAACTGGAGGTGGTGCTCCCAAGTATCAGATCACGAATGGATGTCCCTGAGGGACGGGGGTCAGCTGGTTGAAAACTCCTGCTTACTGTGTTGACGCCTCAATCTGAGAAATCAGAGGGCCATAGTATGGCTCCAGCGGTGAGCGTGCTAGCGACCCTGTGGGTCAAGTCGGCCCTGTACCTCCCCGGAGGGCCGCGCCCCGTGTCGAACAGGACGTCGAGGTCCGCCGGTGGCATCGTGTGGCACAGGCTGCGGAATGTCGTTGCCGCGGCGTCTGGGAGCGGCCGGTCCTCCAGCCTCCTCCGCCGCCTTTTGATTCGCCACGCCCGTCGCGGGCCCCGCCTCGGGCCGAGCTTGCTCCCTTGTCTTGCCGTTGCTCGAGGACAAGCTTCGCCATCGCTCGCGAGCCCTTGCCAGGTGGCGAGAGGGGACTCGAGGGCGGCTTGCCGTAGCCCTGGCCGTGGGCCTTGCCCTTGACGGCCGGATTGCCCTCGCCGTTGGCTTTGCTGGCTCCCGCGCCCCCGCCCACGGCGGGGGACTGGAAATGTCTGATGAGACGTCGTTCAGATCGTTTGGCTGGATATGCTGCCCCCTCTCCAGAGCTGCTGGGTGCGCATCTCCAGGGGAGAGCGGCGCGCCAGGAGCGCAGGGTCGCTGGGAGGGTCCCCCCTCGGTGTGCCCAGGGCCTGCCTCACACTCCTGCCGATGGCAGGCTGCTTCTCGAGCAGGGTCTGGGCCACCCTGGCATCTCGGTTCTCCACCTGCTTACGCTTCTTCTCCAGCTGCTTGGCCGTCACGGTTCGGTCCACGAGTTCGGCGTAGAGAGGGCTCATCACGCAAGAACTTGGCCAGCCAGCGGGAGCCGCACGACGGGTTCTTATCTCCCTCTGTGCTCGCAGAGCCCCGGGGCAACTCACGAAACTCCGAGTCGACGAAGGACGTGCCCCTGATGTCTTAGAGGATGATGGATGATGGTCCGTCTCGCACTCAAAGCTCACTGTCACGCCTCGATCCTCCATCCTCCATCCTCCATTCTCCATCCTTCATCCTCCCTCCTCCTCCTCCTCCTCCTCCTCCTCCTCCTCCTCCTCCTGGGGCTCTCATGGTGGTCTCTTGGGCAGTTTTAGGGGACACATTGAGCCATCTTGGGGGCCTCTCGGGCCGTCTCGGGACCCTCTCGCCGTCTTGCTCTTGCGAGCCTCCAGGACGTACTTTGGGCTGTCCTGGAGCACCTGTCAACCCCGTCATGAAGCGTTCGTTGGCGATGTGTGCGCGCATGGGAGCTTTTCTGGGCCAGAGAAGTTCGCCGTGCCCGTTGAGCGGGACCCCCCCCCATCCAAACCGGCTGGACCGGGCTCCCAGAGGGGGAAGGTCAGCCACCTCACACGCCGAGAGCACCGGCACCTCACCTTCAAATTTTGGCAGCCATAGTAATGTTGGCTTGTTGGATGGTCGTTGTCCCCAGGTCTGAGCTAATGTGTCCCTTGGGCTCCTTCTCAAAGAGCTTGCTGAGGTTGCTGTCGCGCAGGCGCGCGTTGTCCGCTAGAGCCACGCGTGGCGCAAGGCCTCCAAGCAAGGCGGCCGGCTGTGTTGACCGCGAGCGATCCTTCTCCCCTCGTCGGGTGTTGCTAGCAGTGCCCCTGGCCCAAGGTGCCCCCAGCTCTTCGCTGCATCCTGAAGCCCCTGGGGCCCTCTGGGCCCCGTGATGGGGTGCTCTGGAGGCCACGGGGGCCTCCCTGGGAGTCCTGGGGGCACCTTGGGCCAAGGGCACTTCTGGCCCCTTCTGAGATCCGACACGCCGCGGAACAATCCGCCCAAATATTTTGAGGAGGAGGAGGAGGAGGAGGAGGAGGAGGAGGAGGAGGAGGAGGAGGAGGAGGAGGAGGAGGAGGAGGAGGAGGAGGAGGAGTGGCAACACCCGACCCCGCTCGGCGGGGCGCGCCGCCGCAGCGGCAGCTTCCCCCCCCCCCCCCAGCGTAATTATTCACGGACGCCCTCTGCGCGCCGCCCAGCCGGCCTGCCGCCGAGCGGGGCGAGTCCCCGGAGGTGCTCCACGGGGCGCCCGAGCTGCCATGCCGAGTCGGCACTGTCGCAGGCTGGACCCGTGGCGATTTGTCTTTTCAATCCCACGGCTTCTTGAGGGTGGGGGACGACGTCGGGGTGGTGTGGTGTATACTTGTTTCTCCGATTTCCTAGGGAAACATCGAGCAACAATCCCGTATACACCAGGATCCGCGTTCCCGTGCGAATTTCAGCGCCGGGTCGGAAAACGCGTCGGTGTATATATAGAGTTCGTTTCCCTAAATAGCTGTTTTTGTTTCGGGTCCGGCGATAACCCGCGTTGTCGTGCTTGCCCCCCTACCCCACCCCCACCAGGATAGCCTAACCTTGCCGTTTGTGCAGGTCCGGGGCGGGGGGGCGCGGGCATATGCAGGGTCGCCCAGAGTTCGAAGGTTAGGTTATCGGCCGGCCCCCTCCTCCCCCTCATAACCCTTGCTATCGCCGGTGAAAAAACGGTCTCATACTGGGCTGCTAAAGGTGTGGGACGGTAGTTGTCGGCCACGCGTAGAGGGGGGTGGGGAGAGGGGGCAGGACTGTTGAGAAGCACCCCTGCTTCTCAGAGGGCGCGGGCCTCATCTACGGATGTACGGCCCCCGCCTTCTAAGAAGCAGCATCCTCCTAAGAAGCCCGCCCCTCTTCTTTCATCTCCTTGTGCGAGCCGCTAAGATGTGGGAGGGTAGTTGGCTCAATGTTGAGATGGAGGTGTATGCACTTCTGCGCGGCCCACCGCTCGCTACGATGTGATGTCGCCTCGGAAGCCTCGCGCCCTCCATGCCGCAACGGAAGGGGGCTGAAGTTGCACAGAAGAACGGCCTGGCGACCCGGTGTTGATTGTCTAGATTTAAGTCGGACCTGTCCCTCTACAGAAGGAATATTCAAATTTATATAACAAATAGTTTTGGGACGATTTGTTATACTATTGTTGAGCATGTTTGGAATATTTTGGATAATTGTTTTTTCGTCCAGAATCCCCCTGTAGGGTGACATGGTCGACCTAAGTCTGGATGAGGCGTTCCAGACAGGGGCCCGCCGTCGAGGATCGAAGTTGTTGGCGCCTCTTTCTCAGCGGAAGGCAGCGGAAGGCCAGCGGAAAGCTTGCGGAGGTTACAAGAGGCCGCCTCCGTCGGCGGAAGGCTGGCGGAAGCCTGGCGAAAGCTGGCGGAAGTAAAGGATGCGTTCCCCAAGAGGTGGCAACGATTTTTTTGGCTCAGCGTTTCTGGAAGCGGTCTAGATGTTTTCAGCGTGTGTAATCGAAGAAACTATTGGGCTTCAATTTCCTCCAGTAAAGCCAGTCGGCGGGTAGACATTGCTCGACGCAGTGGGAAGGGGATGGGCGGGCTGGGTAGGGCGTCAGATGTGGCGCGAACGCACGTTACTCGCCCTCCCCCTCTCGCCCATCCACCGTTCTCCTTCCCCCCTCTTGGACCCCCCCCTCCCTCCCTCCTGCCCTTGTCGACCGCAGGACGAGCCTGTCCAACCACCAAGTGCCGAGCAGCCTGGGAGCCCGCCAGACGACGAAGGCGCCGGCCAAGCAGTCCGAGAGGCCCCTTCCGCCCGCTGGGCGTCGCTCGGAAGTGTGGAATTCGTGTTTTTCTCAAGCATCTTGATGTGTGGGGCCCTCGTTTTGAAGAGACAGCGCCCCGCGCCCCCTCCTTCCTACGTATTTCTCGCACCCCCCGTCTTTCCTCCTTCGCCCTCCGTGGTCTTCTGCGTCAGCACAATATGCCCATCACCATCACCATCACAACCACCACCACCTCCATATTCACTATCATCATCAGCGTCATCACAATCATCATCAGCAGCAGTATCAGCGTCATCATCATCAGCAGCAGCATCAGCATCATCATCAGCAGCAGTATCATCAGCAGCATGATCATCAGCAGCAGCAACATCGTCATCCCCGTCATCATCATCATCATCATCATCATCATCATCATCATCAGCAGCATCACCATCACCATAATCATCATCATCATCATCAACATCATCATTATCATCCGCATCATCATCACCATCAGCATCATCCGCATCATCATCACCATCAGCATCATCCGCATCATCATCACCATCATCATCATCAGCAGCATCAGCATTACCATCATCATAAGCGTCATCACCTTCACCGTACTCGTCATCACCATCACCGTCATCATCATCAGCAGCATCATCATCACCATCATGTTCGACCTCGTCATCATCATCATCATCATCATCATCATCATCATCATCATCATCATCAGCAGCAGCATCATCATCAGCAGCATCATCATGGTCATCATCTCCCTCTTCATCACCATCGTCATCAGCAGCAGTATCATCACCAGGGACCGCATGGCGTCGCCATCTGATTCTGGCACTCTCATTACACGCTTCGTGGCCCCACAGGGAGCTCCAACAAGGCCCACAGGCCAGGGTCCTCATGGCGTCGCCGCCTCATTCTCGGAACACCACTCACACGTCTTGTGGCCCCTTGGGCAGCTTCAACTAAGGCTCCAGCGGCAGTGTCCACATGGCCGAGCCGCCTCATTTCGGCACCCCATGCACACGTTCCGTGGCCCCATAGGCTCCAACTAAGACCCAAACGCCAGGTCAGCATTGCCCCGCTGCGCCATTTCGCCACACCCCTTTACGCTTTTCGTGGCCCCACATAGCTCCAACCAAGGCCCAGAGGGAAAGGCCCTGTGGGAAAGGTCCGCATGGCGTTGCCGCCTCATTTCGGCCCACCTCTCACACGCTCCGTGGCCCCACAGGGAGCTCCTGCTCAGGCCAAGGTGCCAGGGTCGGCATGGCATCGCTGCTTCACGTCGGCGCACCCCTCGCACGATTCGTGGCCTCACAGGGAACCCCAACGAATGCCCAAAGCGCCAGGGTCCGCGTGGCCCCGCCGCCTCACTCGGGCATACCCTTACACGTTTCGTGGCCCCTTATAGGAGCCTCCAGCGAAGACCCACATGCCAGCTTGCGCATGGCGTCGCCGCTTCATGTCGGCACACCCCTCACACGCCTCGTGGCCCCATCGGGAGCTCCACCGAAGGCCCCAGTGGCAGGGTCTGCAGGGCCCCGCTGCCTCATCCCGGCGCGGCCCTCACACGTTTCGTGCCCCCCTACACGGAGCTCCGCTCTGAGTCTCCAGTGGGTGCGCCCGCATGCCTTCTCCACACCGTTCCGGCTCACCTTTCGCAAGCTGCATTGGCCCTACACCGATCTCCACCTAAGGGCGCATGTGTTCTCCACACCTCGCATGCGCGACCGCGCCCATGCGCGACCGCGCCCATGTCGGCGCACCCCATCACACGCTTCGTGGTCCCACACGGAGCTCTGCCGAAGGCCCCACCGCATGCTGCCCCCGGGGCCGCGCCGACAGGCGCCCAGATCAGTCGTAACGGGTTGAGCCCAGAAGTAACGCGTTACGGCCGATCTTTGCGGCTCATCAGCAACGTCACGCCCTTCCCACGCACGCCTTTGTCCTGGTTGCCAGCCCCTATCGTCGTTTCCACCTGTCGTGCGGCACTCGCAACTACACGTGGTCGGGTCCTTCGCCAGGCCCATGTGCGTGTATTCGTGCATCTAATCGCTCGCCTTGCCTGCAAGCCGCGCTGAAGAGCTGTGGGGCATGCTACAGCCTCTGGCAGTCACCACAGAAACAAAAACACGCACACGAATGCCGCGTCCGAGCGACGACTTGCCCCGGCCAAGAAGGGGAGGGAGCGATGGAGGAAGGGGGGAAGCGAGCGAGGACGAGGAGGAGGAGGAGGAGGAGGAGGAGGGCGACGACGAGGAGCATGAGGCACCAGTTGAACGAGGAGGGACGAGAGGAGATGGAGGTTGAGAACGACGCGGAGGAGGCCGGGAAGAAGGGAGAAAGGGAGGGAGGGAGGAAGAGACGGAGGGGGAAGGAGGATGATGAGGAGGAGAAGGAGGACGAGGAAGTGCGGAGGACGGTAACGAAAAGGAGGAGGAGGAGGAGGAGGAGGAGGAGGAGGAGGAGGAGGAGGAGAAGTCAAGGGGGACGAGGGCACGGTGGAGCAAGGAGAAGGGGGTAGCGAGAGAGGAGACGGGGGCCGTAGAGGAGGGAGGTGCAGGGAGGGAGGTGCTGGGATGCCTCGGGGGGCAGGACGGCGGCGCACCTGGACTGCGTGCTGCCGGGGGACCCTCGGGGCAGACCCACCCCGCTGCGAGGGCCAACCACCGCGGGGGCCCCACGGGCCAGCGCAGCGGGGCGGCGGGCTGCACCTGGAAGGGGCGCCCCGGAGGACTGCCCCTTGAGACCCGCCCGATTGGTGCACGCGCGGGACATGCAGGAGGAGGAGGAGGAGGAGGAGGAGGAGGAGGAGGAGGAGGAGGAGGAACGGAAGGCAGAAGGATGAAAAGGACGGGAGAGGGGGAGGAAAGGAAGGGTGAGCTGGACAGAGGACCAGCAGAAGGAAGGAGCAGGGGAGTCAGGAGGAGTAAGAGGGGCACCGCCGCCACCGCCTGCTCGGTAGAACCGTGGCATGGCGGGGTCAACGTTCTTTCTCAGAGCTGCTCAGAGTCCGCCTTTTTCTCCGACGAGTTGAGCCCGTTTCTTTATTGCTTGGGGCATGACGGGCGGCATGGCCCCCGCCCCCCCCACCCCTATGACGTAACGCTCCCCCCCTCCCCAGTGCGCTCCGGGCACTGCCACCGTGCGCATTGGGATCCGCGTAGATGTCCGCGTAGGAGTCTGGTCCGCAGTCGTCGTCGTCGTCGTCGTCGTCGTCGTCGTCGTCGTCGTCGTCGTCGTCGTCGTCGTCGTCGTCGTCGTCGCTCGTGGCTTGTCGATCGTCGCTCATAGTCGTCGTGCGCGCGGACGCTGCTGCAGCCTTTTTTCCCCGGCCGATGACAGCAATCATCTAGGGGGGAGTGGCGGTGGTCGATGACGTCACCTGTCGCACCAGCGGCGTCTGGGAATGCTCAGGAATGACGGAGGACGGGTAGCGCCAGCATGTAAGTGGCGATTTGCACCACAACGCCTGTGTACACCACAGTGCCTGCGTGCACCACAGCGCCTGTGTACACCACACCGCCTATATACACCTCAGCAGCCGCGTGCATTACAGCGTCAGTTTGTGCCACCGTGCCTGCGGGCACAACAGCTCTTGTGCACACCACAGCGTTTGCGTACACCATATCAGCCATGTGCAACACAGCACCAGTGTACACCACAATGCCTGCGTGCATTGCAGTGCTTGTGTGCACCACGGCGCCTGTGTGCACCACAGCAACCGTGTGCAACACAGCACCACTGTTGTATATTGAATGTTAGAAAAATTATCCCGGCAAAGCAACCTAACAGCGATGTGTAGAAGCATATCTGAAAGCATTCCCCTTAAGATTCAGATGAAAATCCAGTTGTAGAATTCTGCTGTCCTCGCAGTCGTAGTCGCATTCGCGATGACAGTCGCAGCGGCAACGGCAGTCGCAGTCACAGCCTCAGCCTCAGCCTGCCTCAGCCTCAGCCTCAGCCTGCCTCAGCCTCAGCCTGCCTCAGCCTCAGCCTCAGCCTGCTTCAGCCTCAGCCTCAGTCTGCCTTCAGCCTCGGCCTCAGCCTCAGCCTGCCTCAGCCTCAGCCTGCATCAGCCTCAGCCTCAGCCTCAGCCTGCCTCAGCATCAGCCTGCTTCAGCCTCAGCCTCAGCCTGCCTCAGCCTCAGCCTCAGTCTGCTTCAGCCTCAGCCTCAGTCTGCCTTCAGCCTCGGCCTCAGCCTCAGCCTGCCTCAGCCTCAGCCTGCCTCGGCCGCAGCATCAGCCTGCCTCAGCATTCAAAATGTGGCCCAGGAATGGAGTTCTGGGAACTAGAAGAACACGAAGTGGCCTACAGTTGGCTCCGGGCATTCAAAATCATGCCCAGGAATGGAGTTCTGGGAACTTGAAGAGCACGAAGTGGCCTACAGTTGGCTCCGGGCATCCAAAATGTGGCCCGGGAATGGAGTTCTGGGAAATCGAAGAGCACGAAGTGGCCTACAGTTGGCTCCGGGCATCCAAAATGTGGCCCGGGAATGGAGTTCTGGGAAATCGAAGAGCACGGAGTGGCCTACAGTTGGCTCCGGGCATCCAAAATGTGGCCCGGGAATGGAGTTCCGGGAGCACCAAGAGCGATTTTGCGAGGATGTCCAAAGCGATTTCGGCTTCGGCGGCAGCTTCGGCGGCAGCCTGTCCGGGTCCCGCCCAGACCCCCCTGAGGAGTCATGATGCTCTCTTTTGAGACCACTAGAAACCTATCAGCAAGAGCTGTTAGGTAAAAAACCCTTTATGACAAAATGGAACGCTTGTGGATTCCACAGAGAACAATAGAAAATAATCCTCACGGACAACGGAGCGCCGCTGGAATCTACAAGTCCTCCCGAGTCCGCCCGCATCACCGTAACTCCTCCCATCTGCGTCCAGGAGGCTCCGGCTAAATTGAAATTGGCCGTCGGAGAAACAAGTGGACCGATTCAATAGACCATTCTGCGGTGCGCGTTGAGATGCGCACGTGCGTTGTAGCGCCAACCCGCACGACAAACGGTAGTGAGGAGGAGGGGGAGGAGGAGGACGAGGAGGAAAAGGAGGAGGAGGAGGTGGTGGAGGTGGAAAAAGAGGAGGGATGTAAGAACGTCGCATTCGATTATCAGCAGTTTCCTGGCGTGGCGTCTAGTTGTCCGCAGCAAATCCTCACGTACATGCTCCGTCTACCTGTCCGATGCACGCAGGCACTGTGGTGTACAACAGCGCTGCGTTGCACGCGGATGCTGTGGTGTAGACGCGCTTCGTGGCGTGCACAGGCGTTGCGGTGCACGCAAGCACTGGGGTGTACACAGGCGCTGTGTTGCACATGGTAGTTGCGGTTACACATGTAGGTACGCCGGCGGTGTAGTGTATGCAAGCACTGTGGTGTACACATGCGCTGCGTTGCACACGATTGTCGCGGTGTACGCAGGCGCTGTGGTACACACGTGCGCTGTGGTGCACGCGAACGTTGTGGTGTACACAGGCGCAGTCGGGCATATCGCCACCTACATGCTGCTCGCGTCGTCGTCGTGGTCGTCGCTCGTCGCTCGTCGCTCGTCGCGTCGCGCGCGCGGGCGCGGCTGCGGTGCCGGAGCCACACGGTGGGGTGGGGGGGGGCGTTCCTTCATACCCCCCCTCGCCCCCCCCCTGCATGACGCCCGTCATCGCCGAACATAAAAACACGTGCTCTTGCAGCATTCATGCCGCTGCCGCCGACGCGGGCAAAGGAGCAGGAGGAGGAGGAGGAGCATAATGTTTCGGCGGCGTTCACAAAGAGAGGGTAACGATACGATGAGGAGGAGGAGGAGGAGAAGAAGGAGGACGAGAAGGAGGAGAGGAGGAGGGAGACATGGAGAAGACAATTCGACGGCGTCGTCGCGAAGGTTACATCCGGCGGCCGTCGTGCAGAGACTGTCGCCTGCTTATCTGCGCATCCGCCTTGTGCTCATACTTGCCGGAAGGCCGCTGGCGAAGCCCCTGTTGGAGACCGCTCAGGCGATGAACGGGGCGACGAAGAAGGCACGCAGGGAAGACATCGGGCTCTGCATCTGTTGGAGGGTAGTATCTATGCCGAGGATGTTGGCGGCAAGGAGGAGGAGGAGGAGGAAGAGGAGGAGGAGGAGGAGAAACAGGAGGAGAAAGAGGTGGAGGAAGAGGAGGAGGAGGAGGAGGAGGAGGAGGAGGAGGAGGAGGAGGACAGCGTGAATTATGTTTCGCTCGCGCTGCAGGCTATAACTGCGACGTTGGGCAACACCTCGTTGCCATCCGCTGGTTACGTATACCGTCAACGATTTTTGACGCGCATGCGTCTCCAAGGCGGTCTTGTCCTATCTCATGGCCGTCGACCCATTCCGCCACCGTGCGTGGGTTGCAGGTATGAAGCCTATTGGCTGTTCGCTGGGATCGCCACTTCGAGGCAGTTCGGAGGCCTCTTCGGGCTGGTTTCGGGGCCTCTTGAGGCCTCTTTTGCGCATCTTGCGGCCTCTTGGGGCTGCTTGTGGGCCTTGCAGGCCTCTTGGGGCGTCTTGGAGGCCTCTTCGGCCGTATGGGGACCACCTCGAGCGTCTTGGAGCGATCGTTCGGCGACTCGGGGCCCTCTTGGACCGTGTCGGGGGACCTCTCGAGGCTCTCTCGGGCATTGGGCTGGAGCGGGCAGAGAACTATTGGAGGAGGAGGAGGAGGAGGAGGAGGAGGAGGAGGAGAAGGATGATGATGATGAGGAGGAGGAGGAGGAGGAGGAGGAGAAGGAGGAGAGGAAAAGGAAAAGGCCAATTCCCGGGAGGTCTTCGCCCAGGTTATTCATCCCCGCATCGGCAGGAGGATCGAGAAGGAGGCCAGTCCTGGGGTCCTCGTGGGCCCGACGAGGCGTCACGCGACAGGATGCCGGGGGAGCCCCGGGGGGCACGCGGGAGGCCCCATGGGGGCACGCGGGGAGTGCCGGGAGGCCCGAGGGCGAGGGGTCGGGGGCCACTGGAAGAGTATCCTCCAGGAGCGAGGCGTGGGGCTCAGAGGCTGCAGCAGAGGGCCCGAGGACCTGCCGCGCCCACTCCGTGCCCGGCGGCACGGTGGCGGCAGAGTCCCCAAATGCTTGCAGCGACGGTGGGCTGCCCCGGTCAGAAAAGCCGTGTCGAAGACGGTGGAGAGGGAGCGGCAGAGAGAACATGGTTCCTGAGTGGTAGGGGAAGAAGGGCGGTGCTTGATTTGCTTTTCCCCGGTGCCAGCTTCCACAGGGTGCGGTGATGATTGGCCGTGGAGTATGCAAAAGCAGAATAAACACATGCAGCACGCATACTCTGCTCTTCTGGTCGTTGCTATTCTTTGTTCTGGCGCCTAGCTTGAGCTCCACAACCCTGCAAATCCCTCACAATCGGGAGTCCCGTGTTGGCATAGACTGTGCGGTGGCTCCCCGCGTAAGCAGTACTGCGCACACATTAAGGCAGTCCCCAGCAGAAGTCCAGCATCGGAATGCGACGCGCAGGGATTTCAAGTTGGGGTCTCATTCGCGAGTTCTTTGTGAAGGGGTCTCGAGCGCATGCGTCGTTGGTGACTGCAGTGTGGACGGTCTTGAGCAGGGGCCGCAGTCTTGAGCACTTTGTGCAAGAAGCCTCGCACGGGAGCCACAGTGAATTCCTTGCGAGGAAGTCCGCAGCAGAGCTTCACTTTCGGCAGTATGTTACAATGAAGCGCCAATGAAGCGCAGAACCGCGTCTTGTTGGGGTTGAGTCTCAGGAAGGAGCCGCAATCAGGAGAGCATCCTAGGGAATTTTCAAGTGGGCGTCGCTTCAGGGCGTCTCGGGGCGTCTCAGTCGTGAGCCGCATCCTCGAGAAGAAGTCCCCAGCGCGCTGCTGCATTCTGAAATACAGAATGGTCGAGCGGGAACTACGCTCATTGGTACAATATTGCATTCTTGAGTCAATTGTGGGGCAGTCTTGAGTGGGGATCGCAGCCCTGAGTACATCGCACCCCTGAGCACATGGGAATAACATTCCCAGCGGGAATCGCGTCCTTGAGCACGTTGTGAGGGAGTGCCGTGTGAGAAAGTCCTCCAGCTGTCGTCGCATTTGTGACGACGTTGTGGAAAGCTCTCTTACTGCAGGAGTGTTTTCGAGTATGGTGGAAAGAAGTGTCGACCGACACCCATTTCGTTGAGTGCATGCTGGGGAAGTCCTCAGTGGAATATTCCTCAGCACACCGGGAGGAGCCCGTGGCGGGAGACGCATTCCTGCGTACATTGGTCTTTATGAGCCATTCCCACTTAGTCCTCCCTCCCTCCCTCCATCTCCCTTCCCTCGCCTCCCTATCCCTCCCCCGTCGCTTCCCCTCGGAGACTTCCACATCGGAGACTTCCACAGTTCTCAGGCGGATTCAATGATTAAGCTTCCAGCGCGGTTCCCATATTGTAATTTTACTTCGAGCGATCCCCACCCAGAACTCGCGGCAGGATACCCAGCGAACACTCGCACACGTTGGGCTTGATTATCGCGGCATGCAGTCCTCAGTCATTGAAGACGCGATGCGGGATACCCTGCAAACACTAGCACACTTGGGGCCTGGTTGCCGCTGGATGCGGGGTGTGCGAGGCGTGTCGGGAGGCTTTCTCTTGAGATCTTGAAGCCCCACCTTGTTGGGCGAGGAGCAACTGAGTGTAAGCCACGCAACGCAATGTAATTATATGGCAGGCAACGCAAAGCATTTGCAAAGCATTGCCGGACAATGTAAGATCATGCAGGGCAGCGCAGTGTCAAACATGACAAAGCAACGCAACTAAATAAAAAGTGATACAAAGCAATGCTGCGTGATGCAAGTAATGACAAGCAATGCATTGAACTGCAATGTAAAGCAATGCAGCGCACTGCATAACAAAGCAATGTGATGCAAAGCCATGCGAGGAAATTGAAGTTAACGCAAAGCAGTGCAACACTGATGCAAGACACTGCAATTTGATGCAAAGCAACTTGATGACGAGCAATGGGATGCAAGTCGAACCACATCAAGACAATGACGAGCAAAGCACAGCAGCGCAAACCAATGCAAAAAGATGCAATGCAACGCAACACAATGCAACACCGAGCAATGCACTGCCACCTGTGGCGCAACCCATGGGTGCAACCGATGGCGGCTCTAAATCTCTGGGGCATCAAGCCGGATCCGCGGGCGCAATTTGCAATGCAATCCATAGGCGCAACCGATGGCCACAGAACATCCCGGGGCACCTGGCGCAGAGTATATTGCGCCCCCCTCCGGCCGCAACCTGGGGCCAGGAAGGTTGCCAGGGCATCCGGCGCTGCTTCTGGCGCAAACGGGCAACCCACGGGTGCAACCAGTGGCTACGAAAAGTTCTTGCGGCATTAGGTGCAACCTGTGCCGCAACCCGTGGGCGCAACCTACAGCCATGAATAAGAGCCGGAACCTCATTGTTAGCTCCAAAGACTTTCAAGTAGGAACCTTCTGGAGTTCTCCCACAGGAGTGCTGACTCCCAATCCCCCGAAGGTGCAATCTAATCCACATCGCGCACTGGACGAAGGCTCTAGACACGCAAAACGTCCAGGCTCACACAACGCGGACCTTTACTTCGCAGAAGCGAACGCCACGGGTCAAGGGCCAACGAAATGTGCAGGCAAAACTCCACGTAGTGTGTTTTGGCTCCCGTGTAAATGTGGAGGTCGTGAAGACCCGCGAACCATAGATAATATCGGCATGCCCTCATGCAATTGTTTCCTTCTGCCCCTTTCTCACAGGGGATCGGGCCGAGGCGATGCGAAGAAGCGGCCTGCAATCCCACGCGGGCGACATGGGCGGCAAGCAAGGATCCAAATGGAAGAGCTTCGGCAAGGTGTATCTGAAGGTTCCGTGGCTAACGCGCTCTTCCTGGTCGCCTTGTTTGGGCCGAGAGCGTGATGCAGATTTGCATGATTGCTGCACGTGCATTTCTGTGTCCTCATTGCGTATTCCATTCGCCACATTTGAGTTGAACGTGTCCTCGCTCATTGAGGTCAGACCTTCGGTCCGCTTTTGGCAACCATTTTCGAATCCGAAAGGATCATCAGACATCAGTGGTCTGAGGCGACGCTGAGCCAGTGGGCCAGCATACCACAGCGGTCCAAGTAGGGCCACACCGGTCCACGCAACATCCGCGATGGGCGACACAAAGGGCCTGCGCAGCGGGAAGCCATAGCGGTCCAAACAGAGCCGTCGCGGTCTACACAACAGCGGCATTCGGCAACGCCTAGAACCACAGGCCACATTGGTCTGGGCAGGACCGTTGCGGCCCATGCAGCAGCCACGGGCACCTGCCACAGTTACCTGTTCGAGATCATATTAGCCAGCGTGGAACCCAAACAGTGTGTTTCTAGCAATCTGTGTGGTGCAATCTATGTGGTTCAATACACGTGGCGCAAGCTATGTGACGCAGTATTTGTTGTGCGGTCTATGTGGTTCATCCCATGTGGTGCAATCTACGTGGTCAACCTACGTTGTGTAATCTATATTGTGCAATCGACGTTGCGCAATCTGTGTGCGCAATGCATGCGGTGCAACCTAGGCTGCGCAATATCGTGTATGCATCCGGCCTGTGCTGCCGATCCCGGACGCTGCAGGACGCTCCGTAGGAATTCGTCCTGTTTACTAGTCTGTGAGCTTTTCCTCGAGGAGGCAGGAGGGAGGATCAGGAGGGAGGGCGGAGGAGGAGGAGGACGAGGAGGAGGGAGGGCGGAGGAGGAGGAGGAGGAGGAAAAGGAGGAGGAGGCGAGAGGAGGGAGGACAGGAGGAAGAGGAGGGGGAGGAGGGTGTTGGCAGTCGCCTCAGGCAGCACGTGTTGAATGTGGAGTGTTTGCGTCGTGTCCGTCCGTCGAGCCTTTTATGGCGGGCTGTGGTTCCTGGACGGGTGGGCTCGCTGGGCGGGTCGTTGGGCGGGTCGTGGCGCGAGTCTGTTGTGGTCTGCCGCTCCGTCCTGCCATGTCTACCTTCTCTTCTCGAAGATGCCCACGGCGAATCACCTCCGAGGAGGGAGAGGTACCCATACCGCTACCCTTCGCCCGTTTTTTCCGTTTTGGGCCTCCTGGGAGGCCCTCGTCGCCACCGCCGGATTCGCTTCGAAATTCTGGTCAGAACGCACCCCTGGAGAGGTCCGGGGAGTAGCGGTATCGTTACCTTTTGGTTTCCCCATCACCGCCGCCCCGTGCCTTTCAGGATACGCTTATGGGGCCAAACGTTTGGGCACTGAGTTTGGCCACACTATTGGACCATGCGTCCCCCCAGCCGTTGTTGAAGCCCTCCGGGGAGCACGTGGAGGAGGAAGAGGAGAGGAGAGGGAGGAAACGTTAGTAGAAGGATGAGGAGACCTCTTGGGAGATTCTTGGGTCATTCATGGGGCTTCCTGAGAGCTTCCTGGAGGCCTCTTGGAGGCCTCCTGGGAGCATCCTTGGGCCTCTTGGGGTGTCTTTTGGGGCTTCTTGAAGGCCTTGTTGGCTGTCTTACGGCGTTCCTGGCCCATCTGACGCCATCAGAAGGCATCTTGAGAGTTTTTTTTGGCCGTTTTGGGGCCCTCTTGGGGCACTTCGGGGCCGTCTTGAAGCCACCTTGGGCGTCAAGGAGGCCTCTTAGATAGTTTTGGTGCCCTTTGGGGGCCGTCGTGGGGGCCTCTTGGGCCGTCCCGTGGTCTTTTTGGAGGCCTCTCGGGCGATCTTGGGGCAATTTTTTGAGGGGCCGTCGACGGGCCGCCGACGGGCCGTTTTGAGCCCAATGCCACAAGCCATTTCCCAGCGCGTCTCACCGGCCGCGCTGACGCGCGGGCGCTTCCGTGCGGGCGCGGGGTCATGGTGACGTCGTCAGCGGCGGAAACGATGATGATAGTAGCGATGGCGGTTACGATGATGATGACGATGATGACGATGACGATGACGATGATGATGATGATGATGATGATGATGATGATGATGATGATGATGATGATGATGATGATGATGATGCTGATGACGACGACAAGGCCGATGACGGCTCCGATGCTGGTCACGCCGATGGCGATGATGATGTCCATGTGTCGCGGGCAAATTTGTTGAAAGGATTTCGGCATGCACTCGCGGCTGTCGCGCGCGGGTGGCCCGCAGCACATCATGTGGCAAGGTGTGTACCCCCCCGCAAGCGCGCAAGCGCGTTCGAATGATTTCGGCATGCCTTTTTGCGCGAAGTCTGCGTGGTATCATCTGACGAGCATAACATCGTGATAATATATACGTATATATATGTATATATGTATTTATTATATATATATATATGTATGTATGTATATATATATGTATACATAAGCACGCGCGCAGCTGTCTGGAACGCAACGTGGTAGCACAGAAACTTCGTTGCAACATTGTTGTCGAACATCGATTTTGAAAACTGTGCGAGATCCCGGGTGCCACCCCGGGATGTTAGTTGGATTCCGACATTCGCGCGCGACCACGCGGGCTTTATTTGCTTTGCCGTCGGTTGCAAAGAATTATTGAACATGCGTGCTTCTTGCCAAACGCATGCGCGCAGAACGTTTTTTTGTGTTGACAGGGATACACGAGGTGGGGGGCGATACGGCTATCCCTTGGGCTAGTACAGAGACATATGAAAAGTGACAGATGAGGCAGACCCGTGTGTACATTGTATGACACTAGTGGGAACTGATTAACCTGGGCGGGGGGGCCGAGTCTGTATTCATAGAGCCGGTGTGGCTCGCAGTCTATCTTATGCAACCTACGTGGGCAAAGTTTAGTTGGTGCCATGTATTCCGCGCGGTGCGAACTAACGTAAAGAAGTGCAAACTAGAACACATCGACATAGCCCCCAGACCGTCCTTCAGGTCCAGACGACGGGTTGCGACGAGGCGGCGACGAGGCGGCGACGGCGACGACATAACCGCCAGATCGACCCGCAGACCCAAACGACGAGCACCGACGAGGCGGCGACATAGCCGCCAGACCGACCCGCAGGCCAGACGACGGGCGGCGACGAGGCGGCGACGGGACGGCGACGGCGACTACATAGTCGCCCGACCGACCCCCACGCCCAGTTGCTTCGTCCAGAAGTAAGAACCATTGAGTACAAGTATTGCTTGGGCAGCACAGCGCAATCGTATTATGGGGCAGGGGTCGTACTCTTGATTGTAGCGCCCGTGTTGCTAAACATTGCAGTCGTACCCGTATCAACCGTTGTAATGGTAGTAGTCGTTCTAGGAGTAAAAGTAGGAGTAGGAGTGGGAGTTTGAGGAGGAATGAGAGTAGGAGTGCGAGTCAAGCTAGCGAGGGCGAGCGGGTCAGGGGGCCCGCTTTTTTCCCACCCTCCCACAGCATCGGAATCAGGTGTGGCACAATGTTGGTTGTATCGGGATTGCAACGCGCCCCCATCCCCCAAACGGCAGGCACTCGCTTTCGGCCCCGCTTCTGACGACATGGCGAGGGAGGAGGGAAAGACTACGCGGGCCGTGCATTGGCGGGGACGGCGACGACGAAGCACTTGCCGCGCTGGCACGTCGCGGCCGCGTTCACTGACAATTCGCGCTGCGTTTGGGCTACAGTCGGGGCGCTGGGGAAGGAACCCGTGGCGTTGGGGAGGGGCTCCGTGTTCCTTAATGGTTTCGCTGTTTGCCTTGGGTCTCACCTTTGTTTTCTATGGGAAATCGGAGCTTAACTTATGGAAGACAAGGGGCCTCGTTCCTTGTGTAGGGTTCCTGAAGTCGACGCCCCGACTGCAGGGCGGCATTTCGCCGTCCCTCGCGCGGCCTCGGCGCCGGCGACCGAGCCATGCGACGCGCCCGCGCGGGACACAACCTCCGATGGCTAGCTTGATGCGAACCCTACCCCTACCCCCCACGATTTCGGAGGGGGAGGGTGGGGTTCACTTCGCGCGGGAGCTCCCGAGCGAGGTGAACCCCACCCTCCCCCTCAGAAATCGTGGGGGGTAGGGGTAGGGTTCGCATGTGGCCCCCTATCCGAGTCGAGTGCGCACGCTGGCTGGGCGGGGGCGACGCGGCGCCCACCCGCGCGGACCCCCCCAAGGAAAACTTGGCGAGTGAGACGTCTGCGCCGCGCTGCGCCCGCCGCCCGCGCGTCGACGAAGCGGCGTGCGACGCGTGGGCGCCGAGGCGCGGGATGCGCGCCCCGTCCCACGCCTGCCGGGCACTGTGCGCTTAGTTGCCTCGATAACGCCCGTTTTGAAGCGCAACACGTCGCGTGTTCAAGACGTCCGTGGCAATACGTTGCGTGTTTGCTCCACGTATTGGGCCGCGCTTTGGCGAATGTATCGCGTCGGACCTACGTTTGCAGCTTACGTGTGGAGCTCCGTATCGATACGACACGTGTTGTCTGTTGCGTATCGGGGCAGCTAAGATTGTGCGGCATTGGCGACGTCATGCCAAAGTTGACCCGAACATCATCGACTGTGTAATGCTCTCACAGGTCGGAGGCACTGGCCCAAATGTGGGGGCGATGAACCGGCAGAGGCCCAGATTGGGAGCATGCTGACATAAGGAATACATTGGGGTGGGAGAGCGAGTAGGGGCAGGAGTCAGTTCAGCCAGTTCGAGCGAGTCCGAGCCACGCCTATTCCCAACTCCTTCCCACAACCTAGAATAAGTTGTAGCGCGAATTTACATCCGGATCGGAACGCGCACCCACCTCGCAAACGGAAGGCGCTTGCGCGCCCTCCCGCTTCCGATTCTGCGGAGGGAAAATTACGCGGGCCGCGCAGGGGCGTGGGCGGCAAATCTTCCGACTGGCGCGGTGAAGTTGATGCATGTGTCGCGCTGACGCAGTACGGCCGTTTTCACTCACAAGCTGCTGGTTTGCAGCACTTCGGCGCTTCTGCGAGGTT